AGAAGACCAAGTACCGATGGTCCGAGGAATCTCACCGGAAAATCTATTGTTATCGATCTCTATCCTCGAAATGTTCCAAGCAACTCTCTCCGGTAATTTTCCGGTGAAGAAGTTGTTACTCACCTGTACACTATACATATCTGTAGCAGTCCAGATCCCGGAAGGAAATTCACCGGAGAAGCCATTGTTCTGTAGCTGAACCGTGAGGAGGGTCCCACAGTTCCCGAGCGACTCCGGGATTTCTCCGGTGAGATTGTTCGAGTATACAACCACGCCTTGAAGTTTCCCTCCCTTGCACAGACTTTCCGGCAGTTTCCCGGTTAGCTTATTCTCTGACAGTTCGAACCTCTCTAGCATTGAATTAAACCCAATATCCGCCGGTATTACTCCGGTTAACTTGTTGGTGAAGAGTTTCAGCTCCTTCAATGCCGGTAATTTTCCGATGGCTGCCGGGATTTCGCCGGTTAACTGGTTGTTGTATAGGTTCAGATACTCTAATTTCGTCAGGTTTCCGATTGCTTCCGGAATCGAACCGGTCAAATTGTTCTTGGAGAGATCAAGCTCCACCATGTTCGTCGCCGAAATAGATTTGGGGATCTCACCGATTAGGTCATTTACATAGAGATGGAGAGCTGTGAGGTTCTTCAACCCGAACAAGACGTCTGGGATCCGACCCGATAACCTGTTAGCCGACAAGTCAACGTGCTCGAGAGCCGTCATGTTCTCGAAAACAACGGTCGGGATTTCTCCGATCAAATTCGTTTCCGTCAACCACAAGTACTTCAGTTTCTTCAATTTCCCAAACTGCACCGGAATCTCCGCCGGAAAAAACCTGTCGTTGTACGCCAAACGAAGTTCTTCGAGCTCTGACAAGTCCCCGATCTCCGAAGGAAACGTACCGTTGTAATCGCTCTGGTAGAGATTCAAAACCCTAAGCTTCGAAAGCAGACCGATCTTCTTAGGGATGTCGCCGGAGAAGCCGTTAGCCCCGAGGTCGAGATACTCGAGTTCTCGTGAGAGACGGTCGATATCAGCGGGAAGTGTGCCGGTGAAGTTGTTCTGGGAGAGATCGAGATGCTGAAGCTTTGTGCAGTTGTAAAGAACGGTCGGAAATCCGCCGGGAAAATAATTATACGACAAATCGAGGGACCGGAGACTTGGGAAATCGCATATCGCCTTCGGAACCGCCACGGTGAAGTTCTGGTTGTAGAAACTTATCTCGGTGACGTTTCCTGCGACGCAGGTTATCTCCGACCAACCGCACGGAGAAGATGTGTCGTTCCATAGCCGGAGAGACGGTGGGTCTCCGAGATCGCGTTTGAGGTTAAGAAGCGTTGACCGGTCGTTGAACTGGGAAATGACGGAAAAGGGCATAGAAGTGAGAAAGAAGAAGAGGAAGGGTAATGGTAAAAGGGTCATTGTATAATTAATTGGTTGTTGGGATTTTGCCGGGAAATTACTGCGACATGGATACAAGTTCGAAGAAGTTGCGGTTTTTAACATTTTATAGATGAAGTAAGGATTTGAATTTTAGATACTTGTTACGTCACTGACTTTTTTTTTTTTTTTTTTATCGTTATCAGACTTTTCAATTTATTTTGGGGAAATTGTTTATTTAATTCCTAAAGTATTTGCAATTAGCAAATTTATTATCCAACTATTATGTGTGCAGATTAAATCTTCAACTTAGTATTGACTTCACAAATTTAAGCATGAGAAAAGTGAACGTTAATTAAGAAAACGGAAACGTTAACGTTGACTTATCTCGGTCTAATTTTGCAAGGTCAACATAAACTAGAGGAATTAATTTGACTAACTAAAAGTTGGAGAATTAATCCGTACAATTCAAAAACTTGGAGAATTAAATGATTATTTTTTATTTATAAAATTATGATTATTTTCATAAATCATAATTATTTGTAAAATACCATCAAATACTTTTTAATTTTTTTATTATATTATGTTTTCTAATAATCATAAATCATAATTATTTGTAGAATACCATCAATATTTTTTTTAAAAAAGTGTCTTTAAAAATTTTAGGACTAGGGATGGAAATTGGAAATATGGGAATCCGATAAGAACGAAACGGATTTGGAAAATTCTCTTACTTAAAATCTCTTATCAAACTCACGCTAATTTGGGTAAAGATCAACTTCAAGACATATATTTTGGAAAATTTCGGGAAAATTTGGAAAATTTTGGATAAATTAATATATATATATATATTTTTTGAACAGATAATTAAGGTACATGATCTTATACCCTTTCTTTTTCCGTACCTGTTTGAATAAAACAAATAGTTTCGATTGACAGGAGAATAATCATCGGTTCCTAACCAAATACTACCATATACTGAAAAAGATAGATAAAAATAAGTAAATTTGATAAAAATTATTTTTTCTAATACATTAACCATACCAATGACCGTATGATAGGAGAATAATCATCGGTTGATAACCAAAAAATTTGCTAATAAAGAAAAATCACCAAAATTAAATACACGTAATTTCATTCATAACAATAGAAAACATAATATAATAAAAGCAATATTTCTTAAAAAATATTTAATGGTATTCTACAAATAATCATGATTTATGAAAATAATCATAATTTTTTAAATAAAAAATGATCATTTAATTTTTTAAGTTTTTGCCATTGTGCATATTAATTCCCTAACTTTCAATTTGGCAAATTAATTCATCGAGTTTATGTTGACTTTGCAAAATTGGACTGAGATATAAAGTCAACGGTAACGTTTCCATTTTTTTCTTTAACGTTGACTTTTCTCATGCCTAAATCTACGAAGTTAACACTAAATTGAGAATTTAATCTGTACACATGATAATTGGGGAATAAATTTACCAATTGCAAATACTTCAGGAATTAAATGAGCAATTTTCCATTTATTTTGTGTGCAATTAATTAATTTTGAGCAACCCTAATCTAGACGTTTGAGTGACGACTTGAATGTGGATGAATTTCAGCTGAAATTGTTTTTGTTACACCAGTTGATTAATGAGAGGAATTGAAGAAATTGTTGAATTTTGAATTATGTGCTGAAATTTGGATACTTTTTTCATAATTCAATTCGTATGAATAATGTATTGAATATTGTGTGCTTATTTCTTTTTATCAGTTATTATATTGTATAATTAATTTATTATATTTAGTTTTGATTAATATAGTTTATTAAAATATGCTAATATTTTTAATTAAAATTTAGATACATACTATCATACAATTATAAAATAAATTAGAAGTAATTAATTTATAATATAATTATTCGCATGTTTCTATGTATTGTATTTTTTACAGTTTAAAAGAATATGATTATGTTATATTATATCGTATATATATAGTTCATATAAACTATCAGAAAGTAATTGATATTAGTATTTTTATATAATATCTATAAATAAATATATATTTTTTAGTTTATTAACTTTTGTTTCTTAATTTTATTTCTACTAACAGATTAAAATAATTTTATTTGTTTCATATATTTATTTACTTAATTTATATTTTTAAATTTTATGAAAAAAATTAGTTATTCTACAATTCCATAGTTATCATTTACATTATTAATTATTTCATTAAATTTAATTAAAAATTATAAAAAAAGTTGCAGATTCCGCATTTTACCATATTCCGATGTTACCATCCATAATTCTTGTTTTTCTCATAGCTCACTTGTGCTAACAAATTATTTAAAGAAAATGCTTCTGAACCAATAGAGATTAAGTTACTCGTATCATATGATTATTCGGTGTGCTTCTAGAACATTGGCAACGGGAAAGTTAAAAGTGTGCTTAAAGTGCTAATATGCTAGCTAATCTATCATGTGTTCAATTCAAATACGCGAGCTAATTTAATAATAGGCCACCCATTTCTCTGAAAGTTATTGCCAAGAAAATTGTGCCATTTGAAAAGTCAAAAAAATATTAGCACTTTAAGCACACTTTTCTTGGCAATACATATATTTTCTTGGCAAACGAAGATCGTGAAATAATTCTTTTGCCTTAATCTAGATTGTGAAGAGGGAAGAAATTTACAGGAAGTACACAAATGGAACTTATAATAAACAAAACTAACAACATGTATTTCACAAAACAGTGATTAATTTTTAAAGGACATACATAGTTTAAAGTTCAAAGAATCTACGGATTTTATATAATATCTATGTAATCCTACATATGTAACTGCAACGGAATATGTTTGTAGGTAACGTATAAGCAATTGAGCTATTGTGATGTTAGTTAAATATATAACTCAAAAGTCTAGCTGACCATAAATATATTCAAAAAGTCTTTATTTAATTATTTTGTGACAATTACATTCCAACTTACTAATGATCTTAGCGGTAATTGTTTACTAAGATGCTAATACTACCACTATTTTTGTGGGTAGATCGCATTAAGATTTGTACTTGTTGGCAGACAGGAAAATCTTATTGGAAATTTTCGACTTTTATAACTTGTAATCATAACATATTTATACTAGTGAGTACTACTAAATTAAAATTTGATAATGTGCTATGTGCATATGTGTTGACAAAGAATAGTCTACTTTTGTATTCTAAACTAGAGAAATTAGAAACCAAATTTTCATCACCACAAAACATTTTTTTTGTAAACTAAAATAATAATAAAAAGTTTGGTTTATTTTTGATATCACACAAATATATTATGAAGGCAATTTAGAGAAAAAAAGGAGAATGTAGAAACTTAAAATTATTGGTTTTTCTATATGGCTGGATAACAGTATTTATTGATTCGTACGTATGTGTATCTTAAAGTCCGTGACAGATATAGTTGTCCGATTTTGAACGTTGACTCTTCAATTCAACGGTCTGAAGTTCGAGAAGAGATATATGTGGATCCCTTTTGTTTTCGTCGTCTACAACGTGTCAATGTCAGATTATCGAATCATCTTGTTTATTGTTTTGGTTAAATATTTGTATTCTCGTGAAATTCTGTTTTAGTTTCTTTAAGAGTAATCGGCAACATAACACATTGTAAATCATGCAAGTGTAGGTGTTTGTAGTGTGTTACACGCAGATACAAATTAAACAACTAAACAAGCTTAAGAGTTTGCGGTTCAACTTCACTAATACAAACACACAAGATTACATGTTAAGTTTCAGAACATCATATGACATTAAAAGTTAAATACAACAAACATCCGAACCAAAAGTGTAGCTTTAGCTTATTACTGTGATGGTTCACTAAACAGACAAAAGCTAAAACTAAAGAAAGAAAGAGAGAAAGATTTCTTAAGAAGAAGGCCTTGGATTGATAATAGCCATGAGAGGATAGAGTTTCTGAGAGGTCAAGCCATAGGTATCCACATTCTCTTCTTCTCCATCTCTAAGCTTCCACTCAAATTCTTGAACTAATCTACCAATGGCAATGCCTGCCATGAGAGACGCTTGAAGCGCACCAGCACAAACCCTCTTCCCGGCTCCAAACGCCATCGTCTTGTGAAGATCAGACGACTCGAATTTGTCATCGAGGAACCGCTCCGGCCACCACTCCTCTGCCCTCTCCCACCGATTCTTGTCCATGTTGCATCCGTATATGTTTATTGCTATCTACACATCAAGATTCCAAATCAAGACTTTGTAATTGAACAACAAATGACTCGGTTTTGAGCAAATGTTGTTTACCTCACTTCCTGCAGGGACATGATAGCCTCCGATTTGAGTATCCTCGTGGGCGTAACGAATGGGAACAAGAGGAGCAGGACTGTATTTCCTAAGCGTTTCATGAAAGACTCCATTGACATAAGGAAGTCGAGGCAGTTTCTCTTCTGTGATCTTTTCTCCTCCGCAGACACTTTGGATTTCATCATACAGACGATCTTGAACACTTTGATTCTTTGCGAGTTCGTAAATCGCCCATTCAGTTGTGACCAAAGTAGTGTCGGATGTCTCGATAATCGTCTCCCAAACCAAGGTTGCAATCTGCTCCATGGTTAGTGCTTTCCCTTCAGACATCAAGAAGTTAAGATAGCAACCATCATCCTGTTTATAGGTAGAGTGATCAGATCAGAAAGAGTGAGAAAACAAACGAAAGACAAATGGAACAGAACATACCGATCCTGAATCACTCTGCTTCAGACGATCTTGAATTAGAGCATTCATCACGGCGAGTCTACGTTTATGCTTTTGCTGGATTCTTGCTTCAAAACTTGTGTTCGGAATCCACTTCAAGTATGGGAAGAAGTCTCTCCAGTCAACATCAATCGCACCCTCCATCATGTCATGTACTAAAACTTTGAAGATCTCCTCTCTCGACAGAGTCACACCGAGTTCCTTGACGTAAATGGATTCTACATCTCTCCCAAAGGCCTATGAAAACAAAACCATTTTTTTTCATATATATTTTCTTGACGAACACATAAATAGAAAAGAAGTATCGTTTAAACACTCACTTGCTTCAAGGCTACTCCAAAAAGCTCATGCTCGTATATAGCCCTGAAGTTTACAGGCTCTTGTGGATGGTCCCTCGTGTGGGCATGCAGCTTGGAAGTCACATTCTCAATGAGGGCATCTCTGTAGTATCTTTTTCGTTTCTGAAAAAACAAAATCCACACAAAACATAAAACTTGATTCAGTTTGCCACAAAGAATATTGAGTTGAAGCATAAACTGTGAATTCACCTGAGCATTTGCACCCAAAAGGCCATTCATGATACACCGTTTCACAGATTTGTGGAAATCATCATAATCACTTGTAGCAACCATAGATTTGTTGCAAGTGAGAACTGTCAAAGCATTTGACAGCTTTCTTGTTGAGATGGATGGAAACCGAGTTACCATGGCCTGAAAAACAAACTCATGAAGAGAGTGCATCAGATCTGATTTCTATTAAACAAGAGCTAGGTCATGAATGAAGTTAGAAAATATCATCAACAAATCTCCGAGATACATTGAGATCCTTCTAAGGGTTTGCTCATGTGTTCTTGATTGTAATTGACAATTCAAGATCGATAAAGGAAGGGTCTTGACACATTTCATCAATAATCAGGTTCCAAAAACTATCAGGCAACAATACATTCCTTACATTTTTGAGAGAAACCAATCGCACAGGGAAAGCTAACCTCTTTGGCGGTTTCGGTTGAATTGAGGACAATAAGGGAGGAAGAACCCATCTTGATAGAGTAAATTGGACCATAAAGCTCTGACCATTTAGTGAAAGTCTTGTGTGGTTTCTTCTCTTTTAGTTGCAGCAAGTTCCCAATCAATGGAAGTCCTGGCACCACTGCATCAACCACACATCAACTAAACTTCAGAGTTTGCAAAAGAATCCACCTTTCAAGTGAAATTTATCTCAGAAACCAAGATTGATCATTGATGAAAAACAACCAAATCAAACCCAGATACTCAAATCAAATCAAGTCTCAAACTTGGACCAAAATCAGAGACCAAACAAGTGAATCTGTGACTCCTCTAAAGGTAATCGCACAGTGAGAGTTACATGAATCGTAAAAACCCCAGATACTGAAAAAAAACAAAAGGGTATACTACCTGGAACAGAGGGGAGCATAGAAACTTCCGACATCTTGCGTCTGGAGAAGAAGAAGAGTAGTTTCTTGAAGAAGAAGATGAAGAGGACGGACGAGACAACAAAGCCAAGGAGAAGGGAGGTGATTGAGGCCATGGAAGGAGTGTGGTTGATGTGTCGATGTATAAGAGAAGAAACTGATAAAGTGAAGCATTCATCTTGTAGAAAAGAGAAAGCAAAGTCTGGATTTTTCCTCTTACCAGCATTCGGTTTGGAAGTTTTTTTATTTGGTGTTTTTGGATTTTACCTCTTTCGGATTTCAATGAGTCATATGTATCCCTTCTATGATCCTCCTCCTGCTGTACCATTTTCCGATATCTTCTTGTGACATGACAGGTTTTTTAATTCCTTCTAAACTCATTGTTTCATCTTTCAAGGAAAATTGTGAATTTACTAATTTAGTGTCCTGAACCGTTCTGAACCAAACCGGAATTTGGTATTCAGTGAAAGCCCTCTTTGTCATCCAAAACCCATACCAACCCGTGATAGGCCTTGTCTCAAGATATCGATTTTCTCCAATACTCATAGTAAAACAATCTCTCTAGAGTAAATATATGTTAGTTCCTTATCTTGTTCATTTCTAAAATGCATGCATGTGCTTCCAAATTTTCCTTAATGCGTTCGAGTGATCAAATCAGTCAACAGTCTTTTTTTATTTGTCACTATCAAACTTGAGAACTCCAAGCGCTTTCCAGCCTATCCCCTTGTTCTTGTGTTCCACAACATGGATCTACTCTTGTGTGACTGTGTCCATGAACAAAGTTGTTGCTTTCATCAACTTTATTTAAAAATTTAACATCAGTGTATTTTCATAGCATTCATTTCTTCTCTTTTAATCTGGTACAATTATATTTTTCAAATTTCAGTTTTCTTTTCTGTCGAATCGGTTTGGTTTTTACCTGATAGCTCAGTATACTCTTTTTCTTTAATTTCCTACTTAAAAAGAGAAGTCATGAAGTATATATATCAGGCTTTAACAACTTATTTATTATACAAAACGACAACACAATATATATAACACCACCCCCGCTTACTTACACAAACTGCATATTTACATAAAATCGTCATCCAATAGCAAAAACCAAGAACATGAGTTGGAAAAAGAAAAAGTAACAATAATAATAATAATAATAAAACTCGGTAAATCAAGCCAAACCCTATTAGTTTCCATAAAAATTACAACCAAAAACAAATCATCGAACTGGTGATGATTTTGGCGAACCTCACTCTATTCCTGGCCATGTTTTCTAGCTGGGAACAAAAAAAAAACAAAAAAAATGCATTGATACATTAGGTAAGTGAGATGTACGTATACCATGAAAAAGTTTCGTAAGAAAGGTTATCTTATTACGTGAGAGCGAGGAGATGTGGGAGGTCTTTAAAACGTGCAATCTCTTCACAGTCGATATAAACATCCTAAGAAATAAACAGAGCGAAACTATATCATTAATTTATCAAATGAAAAAAATATTCTCATAAATATATATCAATTTTAGTTGTGATGAAAAGAAACTCCAAGATTATGACCTTTTTAGAAAAGAATCATATATATGAAATGAATTGACCAAGCTAGTCTTTAGAAAACTCATGTTGACAAATATGAGATATAGAGATATAAAATGATTTTTGATGATAAAAGTAGGTCAATATTGAATTAATTTTGTTTAGTTCAACTTACTCCCAAGGAACATCTCCGACCAGAACTTTATCTCCTTCAGTGTCTTCGTAGACCAAAGTGTATTGTCTGTTTAGATCCGACGAATCTTTCTTAGAGAAGAGTTGGTCAACGGCATGTGAAAGCTGTTGGTAGTTGTTAAAAGCGGAGATGTTGACTTTTCTTCCTATGGGAACTCCTTCCATGTTGATCTTAACGTACAACTCTCTCTCTACATCACTCTCCCTCTTCTTCATCTCCTCCTTTAGCTGTGCCGTTAGATTTCGCCGGGATGATCTAACCGGCGGCCATCCCACCACCGAGGCTATCTCATCTCTGTTTTAGCCATATCTTAATTATTATTATAACCATATTAATAAACCATTGATGAGATCTGTGAGAATGAATTAAGAGAAACCTGTTATTGGAAACAAATGATGTTTCTTTGGTGAAGCTTCTTTGTTTAGATCCGTTGTTGTTAGAAGTGAGTTGGTGACAGGGAGGAGCCAGCCTTAGCTCTAATCTCTTCTCTTCTTCCATTTCTAAGTTTGTGTTTTGTGTGTTTGGTGTTGGGGGGGAGTGTTATATGGGTGGCTGGCAAGGAACTTGGAACTACAATTTACAATCTTTAAATTATTTTCTAATTAAAATAAGAGATTTTATTTGTATAAATTAATCACCAAACAGATCCTTCTTGTATGGATTCAGAATGTCAAGATGCGTTACATACGTGTATGAATATGATACGGCCGAATGATGGATATGGTACATATTATATACCATGTAACCATGATGATGATAAGAAAAATTTAATATTCAAATCACTTATACTATGTTAAAAAAAATATACATATATTATGAAATATGTTAATAATGCAATTAAGAATTAAACAAAACATGCTTGTTCAAGATTGAAAATGTTAAAGTTTTATGAGAACACAAACATTCAAACAAAATTTATTTGATAAAATAAAACAAATTATATCAAATTATTGGTGATATTAGGCTTTAACATAAAACACAAACTTTATCAAACCTATTAGACCAAATTCGTACCTCTTATGTTAAAAAATGCTATTCTTACTTGAATACGAAAATTATTTGTTTATAACCTACAAATGTATGAGCGTAACATGTGCTATGCGAGATTTTAAAGATCGAGAGATCTCGTAAAACAATGCATTTTAGAGGATTCATATTTGACATTTGAGGTTTGAAAAACCGTGTTTACATATATCATGACTCATGATCATCATTCATTAACATCGTTCGTTACCATCATCATCTTGAAGCTTTTTGCTTGTATACATAAAGAATGGAGGATGGAGGCCGACAAAGAAAAAGAAAGAAGAAAGAGGAAAGAGATTCCTAGGCATGCTTAAATGAGTGCCTACCAATAAAATTGAGAAAAAAGTATTAGGTTTTCGTTCCTTCCTCGCTTACAAACCTTCTTCTGTCTATTTTTATTTTAATAAAATATTTTATGTTATTATAGATTTAGATATTACAAATATTAATTGTATGGTTTTTATTTTTTGTGCAAATATATTAATTGTATGTATAGTTAGAATTCCACTACTAAAAAAACTATCGATCTTTTTTTCACTAGATTCCACTAGAACCCTGTTTTTCCTATTATTTTTTCTTTGCTACAATTTGGCCTCCATAATGTTTGTTCTTTTTTTCAAGTTATATAATTGATTGGTTTAGGGAAAATTATCAACCCATGAAAACATATCTTAAAGTTATTGATACCGATACGATAATCAAGTATAACTTTAGAAATTTATCTCTAGATTGGTTTAAGGATCTTTCAACTCAATCTAAAAGAAAATTATAGCTACTCAAATCGGATTAGACGATTCTATGTATGCCTAATCCTAAATTATGTCATACATGATAAAGATGATTAAAAAGTATATCCGACTGAATCAATATAATTGACATCAACAAGTTCAGGAGTAGGAAGGGTCGCTAGTACATATACTCGAACTATTGAGAGTCAAGAATTTTCATAGAACTGAAAAAAACTTATTGAGCTTTTTTAAGCTAGAGCTTATTAAACATCTAAATTTGAATTAGATTCAACGTTTTATCAATAGTAATACTATACGAGTAAGTCCTATATCTTATCATTGAACACCGAAGGAGAGAGTAATAGATTAAAAGGACGAAAAATAATGTGTTCCAAAGAAGGAGTTATGATATACATCTTGATACCAAAGGTGGATACACATTTAGGCATGCCTATCTTCTTTCTTAAAGCAAATGATCAGGCAAAAAGGCTAAGAACAATTAATACACATAGATGTTCAATGAATGTATAACCATTTTAACAAAAAGAAATCAAAGCTTTCATCATTACCATAAAATAACTATGCCACTAATGGAGGGCCACCACTTGCAATTTTACTTCTTCTTTTTTTTTTTTATCGCTCCCTTTAATTTATTTATTTATCTTTTCTTGACTTTTGAGATTTGATGGATGGGATCATTGACTTTGCAATGATTTCAGGCCCAAAATCACTTCAAATATTCTCTTTAACACTACTTTTTGCTTTAAGTTTTTCTCTCTTTTTGATATATTTTAGATAATTGCATTCTATCACAATGAAATTGGTGATATCTAGCAAGATATCAAAGATGAGTTTGTCATATTAAGACTATATTGGTAAATACGTAAAGTGTGGTGCGATGCTATCTAATCGTACTATTTGCATTTTATCACCGTTGAGAAATCTTGTTTCACTTTTGGTGCCGATACATAATGGTGAGATGAGGTTCAAGTGCGAGATTTATTTTTTAGTCATGTTTTGCGAACTCATTTGGATTGCACACCAACCACGTACCCACATCAAAAAGACGATTCAAAGTGGTCTAAGTGCAATTCACAAATATTTCGTTTTTTATTATAAAAACTTTTAGAAGGTCCATAGAAAGTGCCAACAGATTCTCTTGATGAATTCACTCGGTTTCAAAAATACTACAAAAAAAATGTTATATAATCCTTCTTAATGTTTTCCGAAGCGTGAACCAAAGTTTACCAATGAGCAATGAACTTCGATTGGGGAAATGAAATTTTTGTAAGACACTAGGTCTAGTCCAAGCGCAAAGTTAACGTCTAACAAATTTTCTGGACATTGTTCTAACCTAACACATATACGACAAAGATGAGTCATGGATTACTTTACTATTTATAAAAAAGCTTATATTCCATTTGTTAAAGACTTAAAGTTGAGATTGAAAAACAAAAAAAAAAAGTAGAAACAGAAGAGAAGTTGTCCTACATAGAAGCAGCAAAACCAATGAAGCAAAAAGTAAAAAAGCAGAGGACACACAATGTGCAAAGAAACTTTAACGGAAGTTTCTGTAGACAGGACTGTACATGCAGCTCTCTGCCATCTTGACCAGGTCCTTAGGACGAGGCAGGTTCGACGCCAGTCCTGCAACAAACTCAAACATCAGATTTTGCAACTGAAATATTTTGGCATCATCATCATATATGAAGAAATTATGAAACTAACCGAGTTGGTAGGTTTTGTCTCCCACACTGGCTGCAATGTTAGCAGAGATCTTTCTGATGTTTGCAAAAGGCGGATAGATCAGTCCATTGGCGAAATTCTCTTCAGTCACTTGCGAGGCCAACGCTTCCGCTGATAGAAACAATGTACAGTTTCCAAACGATTAAACGCACATGCATCAGTTTCTTGAAACAGATTTAAACGAGTGTAGTGTACTTACAAGCTGCTAGAAGCATGTCATCACGGACACGAATGGCACCGGACATGATCAACCCAAGACCGAGACCCGGGAAAATATAGCAGTTGTTTGCCTGACCAGGCAAGAATGTTTTGCCTTCATACTCGACTGGGTCAAAGGGGCTTCCACTTGCAAAGATTGCACGACCCTATTGATCAAACACACAAGCTGTTGTTAGGTCCCATCAAATGCAAATTCACTTGTCTGGTATAGATAATAAGCTTTCGAATTGTTACCTTTGTCCATGTGTACGCTTCTTCAGCCGTGCACTCGGCTTGAGAAGTAGGGTTTGAGAGAGCAAGAATCAAGGGTTTCTGTAAAGGTGAGCATCAGAAACAAGAAAGGGAAGCAAAACCGAGAAAGCAGATCAAAAGAAGGAAACAAAACCTCGTTGAAGGTGGCCATGGCCTCCACTACTTCCTTTGTGAAAGTCTTACCAACACCAGAGGTTCCAATGAGAACGGTTGGCTTGATTGCCTGATTTAAGACAAGAATCAACAAGTCTTAGAAAAATATTTTTCATCTACTCATGAAGAGATATTGAGATGAGGTTGTTTAAAAAGTACATTAACAGCTCCTAGGAGCTCCTTGACAGGCTCGTGGTCATGCGCCCATGGCTGCTTGAAATGCTGAAGCGATTCTTTGCGTGAGCTAACGATCAGTCCCTGCAAGATAATCCAAAGGACGTTGCGTAAATGAAGAAGAAAGCAGTAGCTAACAATGATGTGATCAACGTTAATACCTTGGAGTCCACAAGCCAAATCTTCTTTCGGGTCTCATGGATTGGTGTTCCAGTCTTCAGAACAACACACTTAAAGATTATTGGCAAGAAGGAGCAAAGCTATCAAAAGAAGCTACAGCAAGGCAAAAGACTATCTAACTAACCTCTCTCGATATCTGAAGAGCAATTAGCTCAGCGATTCCAGTTCCAGCCTTCAAAGAAGATAACAGAGCTTTATCAGCAAAACACAATACTAGACAAAAAAAAAAAAAAAAAAAACTTGTTTTGGTATATGTTTTTCTGGTGTTACCTCTCCAGCACCCAAGAACAAAAAGGTGTGGTCAGATAGGCTTTTACCAAGTACTTTCTGAGCCGCAATAAGCCCAGCAAGCACCACTGATGCAGTACCCTGCAATATCACACAGACAAAACAGGTTCTTGCTAGTGAGCTTTCAGAAAATTCAAAAAAAAAAAAAAAAGTGCAAGTCATATGATATAAGTGTTGAAGAAAAGATCTCTTACTTGGATATCATCATTGAAAACGAGATGACTAGAGCTGTACTTTGAGAGAAGCTCAAATGCATGGTGGTTTGCAAAATCTTCAAACTGAAACCAAGAGTTACTTGTATATTGTTATTATATCAACACACAAGATTGAAAAAAGAAAAAAACTTACTGATCACATGAATTTACCTGCACCAACACTTTTTCTCCATAGTTCTGTTTAACAGCACACATGAACTCGTGGAGAAACTCTGCGTATTCCTGAATAACAAAAGCAAATATATTTCAAACACAAGAAGAGTAAAAAAAAAAAAACTAAGAAATATAGTAGTAAAACCTCTCCAGTTGCCCTCCTCTGTTTAAGTCCAATGTAGAACTCATCACTCAGGAGCTTCTCATTGTTTGTACCCACATCAATGGTTATTGGAAGGCACTGCATGTGAAAATTACAACCATGATTACTGAAAATTCAAGCACAATGACCAGTTTCTAAATGAAAATTCAGAAGCTTATGTTTCGGTTCTTACAGCCGATGGACGGATTCCTCCTAGAGCTGTGTAAAGAGAAAGCTTCCCTACTGGGATTCCCATTCCCTGTTAAAAAAATTTCACAGCATTCAAATCAAAAAAAGATAAAGAAAAATGCATATCACAAGAAGGATTAAACATTTTCACAGTGTTAATCAAAAACTCTGTTTACCTGGCAACCAAGATCACCAAGACCCAAAATACGCTCACCATCGGTGACAACAATAACTTGAATCCCTCTCTGTGGCCAATTCTTCAACACTTCAAGAATCTTTCCCCTTAAGAAATGCAATATTTTGTACTTAGAAATGCAAAAACTAATTGAATGGAAACGATATATGGTTTGCAGCGAGCGAATGTATATATTATATAAAATCGCACTTCTCTTTCAAGCTGATGTAAAGACCTTGTGGCCTCCTGAAAATGCTCCCATACTTTTGGCAAGCCTCTCCCACCGTCGGTGTGTACACAACCGGAAGCAGTTCCTCCACATTATCGATCAGAAGCTTGTAAAACAATCTCTCATTCCTCTCCTGAAAAAAGATTCAGAATTTCATTTTAAAGATATCTCAGTTAGCAAAAGCTAAACCATAAAACAGAATCTTCAGGTAACACAGTTAACCTGAAGATCCATGAGGGCCATGTAACGCTGCAGAGGAACCGTGTACTGACGGAGATTGTGCATCACCTTCCTCTCCTATTAGCCACAAACTGAAATCAGCAATAGCCTCACAAGAAAAACTAAAAAAAAGAGGAGAGATTTTAGTGTAACAGATCATAATGGTGAAACTCAAAAGCACCTGAACATCCTGAGATAAAATAACAGGAGGAAGAAGACCAGTTAGGTAATGAGCATCTCTCTCTTTATCAGTGAAAGCAAGTCCCTTATTGTAGCGAGGGTCACGCATCAAAGTACACCCACTGCAGAATATGAAACAGAGTTATACAGATCAAAGAATAGTCACCGAAACTGGCTCTTGCTTCCACAACAAGGAAACAAAAATGGTTAGCATAATACTATCACATAAATCCAAAAGTTCTTTTGTAAAAAAAAAGAATTTTCATCCAAACAGAAGAATACAAATCAAGAAAATTCTGAAATATATTGGATCTAGCGAGTCTTGAGTAGAAAAATGATGACATGGTGCATTGTGGGTCTCTCTCACCTGGCGACAGAAGTAACCCAAGGAGTGACGAGCTGATCCAGTGTGGCGCTATCCTCGCCGTAAACATCAGAAATCCCACCGCCGACGCCGGACCTGTTCTCGGAGACATAATCGTCGGAGATCTGAGTCGTATTGCTGCCCATTTCTTTTCACGGTTCCGATCTGAGTAACAACGCAGAGAAGGCAGGAGAGAGAAATGAGGAAGGTGAAGAGAATAAAAGTGGATAAAACCCCAGAAAAGAGGACAATGCGATTAATAATCGCCCATTATGTAGGCGGAGAAATTTAATTCGCGAGGGTCTGAAATATTCAAAGATGGAAAAAAAAAAACGCGGACAATGAGTCTCACACTCTTTCTATTGGTCTTCTTCTTTCTTGTAATAATAACATTTTTTTATGTTTTACTAATTGTCTTGTGTTTTCTTAAGATGTATTTTTCCCTTTTGTATATTTTTAAGTTTGAGATTTGTAAAATAAAAGCATACAGTATATTATTGATTGATGAGTTTATTGTTTCAAAGTAAAATAAAAATACGAATCTGAATAAACTTATTCTATAATAGCCATATTCAAACCGGTTTGGGTTAGGAAATATGCAGTTACTGCATGTGCGAAAAATTGGATTAAAAAAAAGGATGATCCTGCATGATCTCCTTAAGAAACACCAGTTAAGATAAAAATAAATAAAACAAATAAGCAATCAGCTGGATTTTGCTGAAACTACTACGTAGGTGGGAAACGAAAGGATCTTTTTTCTGATAAAGCATCACGTCGTTTTAAGCCCTTTTTTATAAAAAAAAATAAAAAAAAAATAAAGCATCACGTCGTTTTAATGCCAGTGAATAGGTGAGCAACTTGATGATTCTCTTTTATTCAATTAAAAAATATAGATATTTTATGATTCTTTTAGCATTTTATATTGTTTTATTAATTATCAAAATGTAAATATATAATTGATTTTGATTCAAGAGTGAAATACGTATTTAGTTTTGACTTATATATATATCATATTCGCCTATATATCAAAATAATTTGGTAGTCATGCATGTTTTTGTCAATTATAATCTTATTGATGTATACATTTGTAATGTTTACATAATATTTAATTGGTGATATTTATATTCATTACTCGTACTCCTTCTAAGTTCTAAGTTTCCAACTAGCTAGCACTATATCTTTTTTTTTGTATCCACACTTTTATCGCATTCCTAAAATTGAATACCTTAGAGACGTTGGAGCCTTACTTGATAAACAATTCTAGGTTACCAATTTCTTATCAATAGTAGTAATACACTTGATCTTTCTCGCTGGCAAAAGGGGCAACTTTTTATTGGCTTTACCGTGTCGTTCAAGATATGCATGTGAAGTTGATCCTTTTTTAGCACATTAAATAAAAGCTAAATTGTTCATGCTTTTATTGGCAGGACGAAAACAAAAGTAAATATGGAACAGAACCCTCGAGACCGTTCTCTTACCACTATAAATACGCATCTATCATAACAAACAAGTAACAAAACATATAAACATAGATACAAAATACATATTACAACAACAACAGGAAAACACCAATACACCAATCCTTCCCATGGCTCCCCTTCAACGCACTTTCTCGGATATCTCACACCAAATATCCGTAGACAGCACTCTAACGAAAGAACCAAATCCAGCCGCAACCGCAACAGCTTTGTTGTCCTTATCAGCGATAGCTGAAGTGGAAGATGCAAAGTGCGAGTGTTGTGGCATGTCTGAAGAGTGCACGCCCGAGTATATAAACCGTGTGCGTTCAAAATTCTCAGGGAAGCTGATTTGCGGGTTGTGCGCAGAGGCGGTGGAGGAAGAGATGGAGAAGATGAGCAACAGTGAAACGGTGGTGGAGAAGCGGCGTGAGGAAGCAGTGCAGGCACACATGTGCGCATGTTCCCGGTTCAACAGGCTAGGCCGGAGTTATCCGGCACTGTACCAAGCCGAGGCGGTTAAGGAAATTCTGAAGAAGAGGTCTAAGAAGATGGTTAGAGGCACCAAGTCTACCAATCCTGAAAAAGGTGGTCTCACTAGGAGCTCTAGCTGCATGCCTGCTTTGGCTAAGGACCTAAAAGATCGTACCTTGGTTAATTAGTTTATTTGTATACTCACGTCAATTTTACTTTTTATGTTGCTATGTTTTGTTTTTTGATTTTACCAAATTTTTTTTATGTTACTATGTTCATATATAATAATATATAGCTACGTGTAAAGATCCGGAGAAGAATGCTATTTCAGTGTAGTGTATTTTGTTCCCCGTGTAATGTATAGTCAAATGATATTTTCTTACTAGTATATATTTGTGGATCAAATGATGTATAAAAAAGAGGCTATATATATAACATCAACGGATAATATAAACGAATCTTAATATGCATCTTCCTCCCTACATAATTATGTATATATCAGATTTGTCTAAAGTTTGTGGAAATTAGTGAAATTTGTACGTAATGGATTATTACCGGTACGAGAGATATAGTCCACACTTTGAAAGATAATTGATTTATGTGTAAACTTTCCCATTGTCGGTTTAATTCAGTTTGGATTTTTTAGATTTTAAGTAATTAATTCGAACTACAGAATCAAACTATTAATATTATACCTAATTTTCCAACAACAATGAAATTATCTTTAATAAATTCAAATCCTAACATAAGCCTAGAAACTCCTTCAACTTTAAAATGGAGCAGATGATAACAGAAGCCTAACTTCCACTCCAAAATTGAGCTAAATTGAGCTAATTAGTACTTAATAGATCAAATTCAGCAGTCCATTCCACGGGAATACTAACAATGATCTAGGGTTCCATATAAACCATGTTTTGAGTTCACCATAGCACCACCGAGCAAACTGAAAGCTAATCCGACGTTATGCTGTTTTTACACGTTAAAAACGGAACGCAGTTTCTCTAGAGAAAAAAGGCTTTGGGCTTTGTTTGCTTTCAAATAAGCATCTTGTCTGAGCCATGAGTAGGCCCATTAAGCCTAATTTTTTAATTGTTGCACCACGTGTCTTTCGCTTTTGACACGTGAGGAGCACTCTTAGGCACTTTTTTTGCCACTTTCACGCACTTCTCACTTATCAGGATCTGTGATCATTATTCACCAGATATAGGAAGATAACATAGATTAATATCATTCTGTTATAACTGGATGATGTATTGTAAATATTCAAAAGGAAGCAAGAGTCTTGTTCAAGCGATACATCACTGATGAAAATTGAAAAGAAAACAAAGAGTAAATAACAACATTATCAGCTATAAAGGAAGAATAAACCTTATCCGTTATTTCGAAGGAGGCTCGCGTAGGGTGTTGGCGTAAGATTAAAAGCTGGGTCCCACGGAACTGGGGTCTTCTCGAGACACGTGTCTGAAATAAGCAGACAATCATGTGAAAGCTACGGAATCTTTAGTGAATCATCGCTTCGCTCGAAAAGACTTAAGGCTTCTTTGATCGGAAACATTTGTAGATGTGGTTTAGAGGACTTAAGGCTTTGATCGGAGGCATTTGTAGAAGTGGCTAGACGCAATTCGTTTTTTTGGAAAGCACAAATGATAAATGGGATCAAGAGAAAAAAAAACATTGGATCAAGAGCCTGACTAAGATAAGAAATGGATTAACAATTAAAAAAAATTGAAGAGGTTAAGTTAAACACTATTTTAAATCAAGGACCATTTTCATTATAACTAATATATTTTCGTCCCTAAGACATTACAGTTAAAGTGTTAGAATATTGTAGTTAGAGCTAAAGTTGTAATGAGAAAGATGAATGGGTGTTTTTAGCGATTCTTAAGAGTTTCTCTATCACTTAAATTTGTATTTTTACCAATGAGTTTTTATCGCTTCCGTATACATATTTTATATAAGGTTTTTCTATTTCTTAATCTAGATATATTAGATTAGATCGAATCCTCTTTAAATATTAATTGTTTATGCGTAATTAGTGATCAGTATATATAGATGATAAGTTACAATCTTTTTTGTATCTTCTCGTATTTTAGCTGTAATCGTGTTTTTATAAACTTGGATACTTATAAACGTTCTTGTAAATCGACCAAGTATTTATTATATATATATACCACGAGCTCCACTGACAAGACTAACCCATTATTTTCTATTTTTGTTTTCCAACATCATCCCATTATTAACTCAAACATTTTTTGCTCTTCTACCATCGATGTATAGAACCTTATTATATTACAGGCCATTGTGCTTATTGTATATATGGATTTCGTTTCATGCATGTACTTTTTCTCCTCCTTTAACTTATTACAATAGTAATTCTCATTTTAATCATGCACCACTAAAATTTTAAAGTGGTTACAATGTCTGATTTTCAGGAAACTGACTTGGATTCTATTATGACTGTCGCAATTTGTATTAATAGTTATTAGGTTAATAAGATTTAAAAGTACGGGTAAAAACAAGAGAGAGGTTGAGACCGGTCACACTCTTTCTGATTGTCGTGCCTAAAAGTGGAATCGAAAAGGGAATAAAGAGATTTAACATGGGATTAGGAAGAAGGGTTAACGTGTTACGTGTAGAGATAACAATAGCTAAAGATTTTTTTTAACTCTTAAATTATTCTTATACTTTGAACAAAAATATATATATATATATATATATTCTTATACAAGTCCCGAGGGATATTGTTCGATGTGGTAATAATCAAATCGGCCAATAGAATGTCTTGAAATTACATAATTGAGTCGTTTTCGAGATTTTTTTGTGTGTGTCATTGTTAATTTGCTAGGTCGCTCATTTAGGTTGTTATTGTTTTCGTAGTCAAATTTCTCGTTCTACTTTATTCTATTCCATTCCATTCCTAGTTCCGAAACTTCATTTTCATAAAGGAATGCTTTCTTTTCTTTGTAGAATGTAACTCTTGAAAATTATCAATTGTTGAGATCTATAAACAGTGTAATGTTAGTTATGATATAATGAATATGTTTCGGTACCAAAAGAAAACAAGAGGTTGTCGTAGATAGATTTCCAAAACATACTATACAAAGATATCCTCGAATGTACACATGATTTGATAACTATATCATTTGCGTATTTCCAAAACCGGTGACTCAGTCCGGTTTTGGATACATTTTTAGTAACGTGGACATAACCAACCGGCTTAAACTTTCTCCTAATGGTATTGACGTATTGTCGCTTATATGAGTGTTGATAATCAACGGCGTGATCATCATCCAACACATGCACGTGAGGGGTACGTTTTTGTAATTTTGAAGCAACGTTATGACCCTTTTAGTAAAGTTGTCCCCACCACTAATACCACAATTGCACATGTTTGATTCATTAATCCTTTAATTATGTCAATAATATTTCCCACCTTTCTGTTTGTCAACTTACGGAATTCATAAGAAAAAAAGAGTTTTTACTTTTCCTGCAAATTAAGCATACTTACCTTCTCATACATCAGAAAATTTTGAAACCAATCAATAAAAATTACAATCTAAAAAAGAAAAAAGAAAAAACTAAAATAGGGAGATTAATTAGTTTAAGCAAAAAAAATATAGGAAGCTTAAAATTCCCCAGTAAAATCTCCTTTGTCCTCGTCAAACCTTCCGATTTACATGTCTCTCTTGTCCCCTTCAAGCGCAATAAAAATGAAATAAAATAAAATAAAGGATAAATAATATAAAATTAAAATGTTTTCTTTCTACAGAAACCATAACTTTCTCTAACTTTACTCCTTTTTAAACTCACATTTCTCCTCACTCCACTCTCTCCTCCTCCTCTCTCTCTCTCTCTCTCTCTAAAAGAGCTCCGGCGAGAGTTCACCGTAACAGCACCAACCCTTTTAATTTCATGGAAGAAGAAGCTCATGAATTCTTCCACACAGCGGATCATTTCGCCGTCGATGACCTTTTGGTCGATTTCTCTAACGATGATGACGACGAAAACGATGTCATTGTTGATCCCGACGGCACCAACACAGCCACCGTCATAGCCGACAGCTCTAACTCCTCCTCCTTCTCCCCCGGCAGTCTCCCAAATATCTACGGTGACGTTCAAGACGGCACCAGCTTCTCCGGCGACCTTTGCGTACCGGTATGCTCAATCAATTCCACATACGATTTGTATAATTAGGGAGTAAAGAAGATTTGTTTGTTTGGTAATTACTGAATTTTAGGAAAGAGAATATATGATATGTTATGATAAATTAATTTCAGGTAAGATTGAAACAAAAGAAAGGAGATTTTTTTGTTTGGTGATTATTGAATTTTAGGAAATAAAATGAATTATATGTGGTTATGTTAGGTAATTATTGAATTTCAGAAAAAATAAAGAGAGTTTTATTGGTTAATTAGTCGAATTTTAATTGGTTTGTAAATTTGTTTCGTTGTTTCGGCGAACACAGAGTGATGAGTTGGCTGAGCTAGAGTGGCTGTCGAACTTCGTGGAGGACTCGTTCTCGACCGAAGATGTACACAAGCTCCAGCTAATATCCGGTTACAAGACCCGACCCGACCCTAAATCCGAAACCGTCTCGGAAAACCCGAACAGCAGTCCTATTTTCACGACTGACGTCTCTGTGCCGGCCAAAGCCAGGAGCAAACGCTCACGCGCCGCCGCGTGCAACTGGGCCTCACGTGGGCTTCTCAGGGAAGCCGTTTACGACAATCCGTTCACCGGAGAAACCATCATCACGAGCCGCCCCCTGTCTCCACCTACTTCGCCCATGTCCATGGTTCAGCTTGGGAAAAAGCAAGCCATCGACGGAATCCGGCGAAAGAAAGATTCTTCGCCGGAGTCAGGCGGGGCAGAGGATCGGCGGTGTCTCCACTGCGCCACGGATAAGACGCCGCAGTGGCGGACGGGTCCAATGGGTCCGAAGACGCTGTGCAACGCTTGTGGCGTGAGGTACAAATCGGGGCGCCTGGTGCCGGAGTACCGGCCGGCGGCGAGTCCGACGTTCGTGCTGACAAAGCATTCCAATTCTCATCGGAAAGTTATGGAGCTCCGGCGGCAGAAGGAGATGACGAAGGCCCACCATGAGTTCATACATCACCATCACGGTACGGACAGTGCCATGATTTTCGACGTCTCATCGGACGGTGATGATTACTTGATCCACCACAAGGTTGGCCCAGATTTCAGACAGCTTATTTGATTGATCCCTTTTATTTTTCCAATAATTAGGGATGTCTTCTTAGATCAAATTTTGCTAATCTTAATTATGATGACGATGACAATTTGTCTTGCTTTTTTTGTTGTTTTGGAGTTTGATAGAAGCTTTTGTTGCTTTCTTCATGACATTAATGAATCTTCTAGTTTTTTCTTTGGTTAAATCTACTTTTTTCTGCATCTAGTCTCTGTTGATCTTGTTATCATGGATTAGTTAATATTAGTTATACAAAATGTTTATTTATTTTTATTTTACACATGCTTATACTTTACCATTACAAAATATAATAAGTGATCATTTGTAAGAAAATTCTACATATATAGCATACTATTACTAAGCTAGACAATATTATAGCTAATTGTAGTGATAACTGGAGACGACTATACATCATCATTAATATATATAACTATACAAGATAGATGTGAAAAAAGCATAGTGATGTAATATTGGTGGGAGAGTCTCGTTGTTGGTAATATGTCACCTCAAGGATCAAGGTCCCTTTACTATTTTGTAGTGTAGTTATTTCAAACTTTCTGCCTTGCGAAGATTGTGATTGTTTCTAATTTAACAATCATCCAAATTTTCAAAAAAATAATAATAATAAACCAAGAGGTACGTAGAACGATATACTGTAAGCAATTTTGTTAGCTTCTTCTGTTTGATGATTCAAATAGTGCTGATATTTGTTTCATGCAATTCTTATAATATATGCATGGTTAAAAGTTAAAACTACTAAATTCCCAACAGTACCAAACGACAACAGGAAAAAAGTATCAAGTAAATAATTGATAAATAAACTTCTCGGGATGAAATCATTTAATTTACTGCTCTCACGATCCGATGCAGCACTAATCTATAGTATCTTGCTGTTCCTTTTTGTTTACAATGGTTTTTTTTTCAAATTTAGAGGTTCTTATTTATTTGGGTTTTTAAGAAATAAACAATTACTCAATTGGGGGACACTGACAAATTCCATTAGTTTTTGCAAATAGAAATTTGGCAAGTGTCGAGATTTCTTTTATATTTTCGTAGACGCTACTAAACACTAACATGAATCAATTTTATAACCAAGTGTTGTTTGGACTATTACGAGATCATAATAATTGAAAAAAATATATATATATATCAGTTGAGGCTTAGTTTGCGGTGGTCACATGCCTCTCATGCACATAGAGATAGTCATTTTCATGTATCTTAAGCACATGTATCCGACAACAGCAAAAGTACATTTACTTGTGAAGCTCTATATACTCATACAATCATATCAAACGTTTAGTAATTAATTTTGTATTTAGTCAAATCAAGATTTTATTTCAAAATTCAAACATTATTCTTAATCACGTGGGAATTTTTTTGCAAGATAAAAATTACAATAATTTCTTCCCGTATAAGTTCTGATAGATTAGGTTGTGAGCATTAAATTTCAATTATGCCTTCTACTAAGAAATAAAGAATAAGGTAGGAAGTTAACGTAGAAATGCCGAGAAATGGGTTCCCATGCGCATATAAAAAAAATTTGCACGTTAAGTCGTGAAGCGATAGATCATTCATGTCTCCTGACAATTTAACGTTTTCTATACACAACAACGATTTTGATGATTATTCTAAGTATTCACAAGTCGTCGTTATCATGATCATAATTTTGTCAGCTAAACTAACAAAGTAGCTAATGATTCTCCTCTTCCAGATCATGTGATCGAATGAGGGAAAGCAAACCGGAGAGAGATGTTAAACCAAGGAGGTTTGGTTGGTATAGCAAATAAATGATCCCTCGATAAGATTCTTATTTTGGGATGGAGAGGCATATGTGTGATACTTACTTAAACAAGACGTGAAAGTAATGAAACCACAATAGATCCACCTACAAGATCTCTTTGAGCAAGCCACAAAAAAGAAACAAGAATTCGATTCATTCAGACAAATTTGTTCAAAATACAACTCAATCTCACTTGGTTTTGATCAGTGTCAAACGAAATCGTTAACTAACTACGAAAGGAGAAAGTATGAATCACCAGGAACAGAAGAAAAGGCGAGTTGAATTTGACAAATACAAAAGGAAGACTGGATCCCAAAATCAATCTCCTCTTTGCATGATTGATTATGATCTCTTATAGAGGTACATTGAGGCCAAGCTCTGCAAGACACACTGTGACTACATTAGCATATGGCATCGTAAAATCATTTTATCAAACAATGAGCTTCACGCGCTGCTTCAAGGTTATTCTTTCGCAGAAGAAGGATCTTCTAATTTCTATGCAGCCATTCATGTCATGTTTGAAGCTATTTCTATTTGTAAGCTTTTGCACAACATTATGACGTTAATCAACCTAAAAACCGAAGTTAAAACCCTTCCTTCTTTATTTTTCATAGTGTTTACATTAGATGCAACATTTTCTATTTTGTTTCTTCTAGGTTGAGTTTAAATAAACGAATCAAAGGTTTAGTGAAAATCAAATTTTGTTGAAATTATCTTAAACGTATTCTATAAGACAAATTCGGATTCATCAGCTTTGCCATAAAAGATATGTCCAGGGTAAGAAAATAAAACTTTTTTTTTTTGTTCAAAAAAAACTTAGGTGCAGATAGTTTTGTCTAAAACTCATCAGCATAACAATAAAAATAAAACTTATGGGTGACACAAACACCAAAAAAAAAAAAAAAATTGGTTCATACAAACATAACCAGAATAAGAAAACATAGGAGTTTTAGGGTTCACACAGGCACACAGCCCATCAAAAGAAAACTTACGAGTTTTAGGGGTTCACATGGCCCAACAAAGCCAACAAAAGTTAAAAAAAAAAAAGGGGCGAGAGAATCAGTTGTCGCGGAGTTTAGTAGCAACGCTTCATTTGAGCTCTGAAATTTACACAACTTTAATGGATTTTTGGTTTTTTTTTAAAAGTCACATTCACTAAATGGGGGATCAGACTTCAGACGTTGACCATATTCGATTTCAGAATCAAATTGAATTATGAATGTTGTTCTTAAAGATTATACTTTTGAGTAGCAACGCTTTGAACTCCTAGACTCTTGCTCTGTAAATTGCTTTCTCTGAAATTGACAATTTGTATGTGTTTTTAATCGAACAGGTATTAAAAAGAAAACATTTATGACTTATGACTAATGTTTTAACAGAAAATATCAATCTTAAATAACAATTGGTATAATATAATATAGCTGATAAAACCCTTTAATAAGAAAAATAGTTGGCTTTAAAAAATTGATATGATATTAAACAGCTTAACGATGGTAAATTGTATTTTAAATGTAGATGTGATATCACTTGTCAAACACGATCTTGTCTGCATTCATATATACTAACACTAACAAATCAATATATACTACAACTTTTAACACAAATAATAGACAATAATTAGATTCAGACAGCCGTCAGTTGTTGAATATTCCTTTAGTAATCTGTTTATGTAGCATGTAACAGAGAGTTGGTGTTACAAAAACCATTTGGTCTTATGTTATGTCCCAACTTTCTATTCATAAAATTAAAATATGTAAATTCTAATTTTATTGTGTCTCACTATTATATAATTTCATAACTTTCGCGGTATATTGATTTTGATTTGTCCTGAAATAATCAGTTACACAGTTTTCGTATCTCGATAAAATGGTTGGCTGTAGATATTAATTGGCGCAACATGCAAGCAACCTCAGTGTCAGTGGCATCTCATTTTTCCTTGCACTGGTTATAAATAAAATGTCAACGATTTCAATGCACGTGTGTCATTCTCGATAATAGTACGAAGATTGCAAGGGTAGTTCTGTCCATACAGTATGTATTACCATAAAACAAAAATACGTACTACAAAGGCCAAAACCGATGTATTGAAAAATATTTTGGTCCAATTCGGTCTGGTTTGGTTCAATTTTATCAGATTTTTTTTTTTTTATCATATTTCGATTGTTTAATTTTGATTTAGCACAAATACCGTCTCTAAACTTTCCATTTAAATTCTAAAGAAGCTTTGCACTGTATTTTGGTTTGGGTTATGTTTTGGGGTTTAGATAAAATCGAAAGAACTAAACCGAGTCAAACTACATTAATTGGACTCAGCCCAAATGTCGATGTAACCAAGATATATATAAATAAATCCGATTACGTATTTCTTCCTTAATTTACTATTTCTGTATCTCCGTCGATTACTGAGAATCGTTTCATAACGCAGAAAAAGCCAAACCGGGCTTAACTCAGAGAAAAGTAAGAGAAAAGAGAAGAATCTTTTGTGAAAGAGAAGAAGAAGAAGAAGAAGAAGAAGCGTGGCGGCTCAAACTCAAAAATCTTCCTACCAAATTCTGAATTTACCAATTTGCCCTTTCACTTTTGTTCTAAAATCTCTAATGAGTTCTTGATCCCAAAGGGTCCGTTGGGTTTCTCGTAAACAGCGACAAAATCGCATAGCAGAGGAAGCCAGCATAGTTACGAGACATAAAAGAAAGAAAATCTGACAAGAATCAAATTTCTTAACATCTCTTTGCGTCTTTGTTTGAGGGTTTATTGTTTGTTGGTGAGTCTTGTGGAGCCGATCAATTTCAATCTATCAGAATTCTATTTTCCTCTTTTGATCTTTGTTTGACTTCCGATCGACTTCTCAACTCGTAAGCTCTTTCAGATTCTCTCTCTCTCTCTATATATATATATATCTCTCTCTGTTCTTGGCGAGGCAGAGCATAAAATTATTTGATAATAATGTGTATCAGCTTTAACATATATTGCATGCAATGATGTTTTCTAAAGAAACGAAAAGGGAAAATAATGATTCCGATGATTATCCAGGAGAAATGATTAAAGATATTTTCCTAGGAAAAGAAAAAGAAAACAAGTCTGAGAAAATTGTTTGGGGACAGCACTTAAGTTCCCTGGATTTGAGCTCTGAAAATCACATTCGCTAAATGTTTTCAGACGTTGACCATGTCACATTTCCAGAATCAAAATTGAATCATGATGGTTGTTCTTAAAGATTTATACTTTCGGAGTAACAACGCTCTGAATACCTAGACTCTGCTCTGTAAATTGCAAATTTTGATGTGTGTTTTTTAATCGAATTGGGTTTAATTGGATTGATTCATATGATTTGTTTGATCATAAAAGATTGATACTTTTGAGCGTGACAGGTAATTTTCGGGGAGGCTGAAGATGAGGCCTGAGCTTCCATGGCAATGGAAGGTAGAAAGCAAACGGCTTCTATGGCTATTGGGACTCACATTCGCTCTCATCGTCACATTTCAGTACATCGAGCTTCCATACGCTATCTCCTCCCTCTTCTCTTCCACCAAGATTCCCATTTCAAGAAACTCGACTTCACTTGTAGGAGACGAAGAAGTTGAGGTTGATCAGATATTTGATCGCAGGGGAAACGCCACTGCTTCCGCCATTTCGCCTTCTACCGCTGCACTCCCGCCTTCATTACCTACTTCAAACCCAAATGAAAACGCAACCGCAACCGCGCCTGCCACTAGTGCAGAGTCCCCTGCTGCTTTACCTGGTTTATACCCATCTACTGCAAAGGAAAACGCAACCGCACATGCCGCTAGTGCAAAGTCCCCTGCTTTATCTCCGGTAAAGGGAAACGCAACCGCGCCTGCCGCTAGTGCAAAGGCCCCAGCTTTATCTCCGGTAAAGGCAAACGCTACAACTAGCCATGTACCGGAAAGGAATTCAACTAAAACAGCTGTTGCTGATGTTTCTCCTTCTGTGAGATTTGTTCCTGACATGAAGGACAACGCGAGATTGCCTGATTCCGGAGTGATGTCAATATTCGACATGAGCAAGAAGCTGCGTGAAAACCGAGTTTCTCTTAATCGCCGAGCAAAGGTTCCATCGTGTGATGATTTGATTTATATTACATTCTTACTTGAAGAAGTAGCAATAGCCAAATAAATGTTGCATCATCTTCTTGTTTTTTTTTTCGCTTTTCAGAAACCAAAATGGGTTACTAAACCTGACTTGGAGCTTTTACAAGCAAAGTACGAGATAGAGAATGCACCGATCGATGACAAAGACCCTCTCCTCTACGCTCCTCTTTATCGCAATGTTTCCATGTTCAAACGGTGAGTTGTTTGTTTCTTATTTTCCTGAAGCTGCATCAGAGCTCATGTAATGATATTGTATCCGATCAGGAGCTATGAGTTGATGGAGAAGATGTTGAAGGTTTACGTTTACAAAGAAGGAGAGAGACCTATCATGCACAATCCAATACTCAGAGGGATTTATGCATCCGAAGGCTGGTTCATGAAACTGATTGAATCAAACAACAACAGATTTGTGACAAAGGACGCTTCGAAATCTCATCTTTTCTACTTACCCTTCAGTTCTCGGATGCTCGAGGTGACTCTGTATGTACAGGACTCACACAGTCACCGCAACCTCATTAAGTATCTGAAAGACTACATAGACTTCATCTCCGTAAAATACCCTTTTTGGAACCGAACTTCCGGTGCCGATCACTTCCTCGCCGCCTGCCATGACTGGGTATATACTTCTTCTCCTCTTTCTCATGAAGATCTTTTGTGACATTTCTGATTTCTTTGTGTATAAAGATGCGATCTTTAAGATTACTTTCTAATAAAGATATGGTCTTTTGTGACATTTCTCTACGTAAGTTGTAAACTTTTATAAGATTATTTACTGATAAATGCATGTTGGGTTTGTAACATTTTTTTCAGGCTCCAACGGAGACGGGGAAGCATTTCTCAAAGAGTATAAGGGCGTTGTGTAACTCGGACGTTAAAGAAGGCTTCGTCTTTGGAAAGGACACGTCTTTACCTGAGACATTCGTCAGAGACCCCAAGAAACCGTTAAGTAACATCGGTGGAAAATCTGCGTCGAAGAGGCCACTACTTGCTTTCTTTGCCGGGAAACCCGATCACGGGTATCTCCGGCCGATCCTACTCTCGTACTGGGGCAACAACAAAGATCCCGACTTGAAGATCTTTGGGAAACTTCCGCGGACTAAAGGGAACAAGAACTACCTTAACTTCATGAAGACGAGCAAGTACTGCATTTGTGCCAAAGGCTATGAAGTGAACAGCCCGAGAGTGGTCGAGGCCATTTTCTATGACTGTGTTCCGGTCATCATATCTGATAACTTTGTGCCGCCGTTTTTCGAGGCTTTGAACTGGGAATCGTTTGCGCTTTTCGTGCCGGAGAAAGATGTCCCGAACCTGAAGAAGATCCTGATGTCGATACCGAAACGTAGGTACCTGCAGATGCAGATGAGGGTGAAGAAAGTGCAGAAGCATTTTCTGTGGCATGTGAAGCCAGAGAAGTATGATATGTTTCACATGATTCTTCATTCGGTTTGGTTTAACCGGGTTTTTCAGGTTTCTGTTTAGAAGTTTTGGTTTAACAATTCATTGTACATTTTCTTACGTATACAATTTTTGTGTGGAAACTCCGTTTACAAAAACGTAATAAAAAAAAAAAAACATATCACAAACCCAAGTGGCCTCAATATTTTAGTAATCTAGATAAAAATTAGATTGTTCTCGAACTCTTTGTTTAAAAAGGTAAAAACTACAGTATGTATGGACTTAGCTAGATCGGTAATAGATATTATATTTTTTACATTGACAATGACATTTGATATTGTGAATCCAGGTTTTTCATTGAGTAGACTGAACCGGTAGAATAATTAATGGTACATTATGTAGCCGGTTTTATTTCAAGCAGACGCATGTGAGAAACAAGGAGCAGAACTGAAACTGCCATGTTTCAGTAAACCAATCTCTCAGTCTCTAGACTTTCTCTGGAGTTATCTTCCCATATTCTTTTTTTTTTATAAGTTATAACCTTCTTGGGAAAAAAATTAAGCGAGGAAGAGGGCAATAATAAATGGAGACGGTGATGTTTGACGTGACTGGAGACATGTTTCTTTTTCATATGTTTTGTCTGTCTCTTACATAATAAACCTTATCATTTCCAACTTTTCAGTGTTTTTAACTTTTCACCAAACAATATATTTATAGAAACTATATGTGTTTGTATACTACGCAGCGTGGAACAAAACGAACCGCATGGAACTTGGAAAAGAAGTTTAAGATTCAATGGTGATCAACAAATTACGGTATGAACTCTTAACTTTTGCTGTGTACAAAAATCTAAATGCCATGCACAGCACATAAAGTACTAATGACTGTAAAACTTAAGTATGTATAGTACTGGACTGCACCACATTTTGTCTGCTCATCATTCACAATCGGAATCTTAACCATAAACCGGGAAGGTAAATTAATTAATTATATATTAAATGAATATTATAGGCAGGTCAAACACTTCCACCACCAAACGCAATAGTTTAAAAAGAAGAAGAAGAAGAGAGATAATAGCAAACTAAATTTCATTTGGCGGTGATCAATGGCCATGTTGTGTTTCCATATGAAATTCATTACTATATAATAAAATAACCGTCTTATCAAATAATTAACCGTTTTTGGTTCAAGAATTGAATAAGGTTCATGATAGTTTTCCGCCGATTTCGTTATTATTACAGATAAATATCTAGACCAATAGATGTGCCAAAGACAAAATGGTACTGCTTTATGATTATTGAACTAGCATGGAAGTATTTGTCACCGACCAATGGCAAGAAGACTGAAGACCGTGATTATATGTATTGTTTTGGCAAATACCAATTTGAAAATCCAGTAACATTTTGCCAAGAAATTGATTTCACCAGTTTTGGCAATTTGAGGATATCCATTCTAGAGTAGCACTATAAATATAGAAACATTCTTGCTTAATGGTTGGCATGCAGGTTCCAACTTAGCACTGTCGATTTTGAAAACAACTCATATATAGAGTGGTTTTAAGTCGCCAATTAGATTATAGATCATCACTGGTGAATGAATCTAAGTTATTATTTTGATGGTATAGTCCAACATTGTATGCTAGTGTAAGTTGAATTCTAAAAGATAATAATTATGACTTACGCATTGGAAAAAACATTTTTTCCTTTTTCAAATCATTATTACAGAATGAAATTCAAACATTACTTTTATATGCTACAATCAATATAATGTCTTTACTGCTAATTGGTTATATATTGTGAAAGATGATGCTCAGTCGTTGTCACTTATTTCTACAATACCATAGAGACATCATTTATCAAAAAGATCCACACAGACATCCATATCAAAAAACAATGCAGTACTACAAGATTTAGACACTGGTGGTCCAAATTTTGAATAATTTCGTAGAAATAAATGAAACTGTTCACTGAATATTATGGTCGACAATTAGTCCTTTTTTTGTGTTCTGCCTCTAACTTTAAAACCCATTGTAATAGTTATATTTATGCTAATATTTTTGTTTACAAAAATGTTATTATACGATTTTAATGTAACTTTTTGACTTAAGAAAAAAAGATATATTTTGTCTCTAATAATAATGAACTTTGTAAAACAGTTTATATTAAGTCTCGTCAAAACGATCACATTAACGATATTGATATCCTGAGAAATGAAATGACTACTACAAAACCCGGATGCAGCTTAAGTATTTAGGGTTAGAATGGTCTCTTGTTCTTCCATATCGACAAACAATAACATCGGTCGGTGAATTCCTGTAGACTAGTTTCGACAAATTGCAATAATTGAGTTGTACTGTTGCATGCATATATACACACATATTTGCGTGTAAGTGGGTCTAAACGACAGCCATACGCGCGTTTCGTTGACTACCCTCCTTATACACTCCTACGAAAAGCAAAACTTATGGGCATGTCCTACATTTCCAGATGTCTCTTGGACCACTTTTTTTTTATAAAAAATTGCAATTAAATCATACAACTTGGTACTTTTCCCAATGTTCTCCCATCGATAAGCCTTTTTTTCTCCCGTCGACACAAAAAATACCTTTTTCTCCCGTCTTTGTTCTTTTTTTTTTCACATGTTTTTCCATAACCAAAATCCACAAGAATATTGTTTGTCTATTTCCCTAATCACTAGCAATAATAGTTAGTATTTAAAATGATTTGGATATGAAATATAGTAGTTCATTCATTCCCTTGAGTACCTGGCATGTAACAAGGCTTTCATGAACTACTATTGAATGTATCTAGTTTATTATGGTTACCAAGATTTTTTACTTTTCTTTTGCTGTGGGTTGATGGTTATAATCTACTTTATATTTCTTGCAACTAATGATTTTAGACATGATTTGTTGGGGCTGCATAGCATCGAGATATGTGTATTATCTTAAGACTTATATGGACACCAATAAGGAGGTTAAAAATTTGAGGAATATTCACCTAATCTGGGTTCAAATCCCTCTTGAAACAAAAATCATATCCATGTGAAAAGTTTGGGTTTTGAGCTTCGGTCTAGGCAGTTTACCTGGTAGTCCGATTCGGCTATCTTCTAGTATTAATCGAAAGGCATTTCAAACTTAAGACAGGCAATGTGGTGGCATAAGGATCTCATAGATCTCATGAATCTCATAGCCCGTTCGATCCGAGCACGTCCGGAGTTCATGGTATTCGTTGAACCGTTGAACCAATAAAAAAGAAATCTACATTGTAGCACCTCGGTGTATTCCTATCGGGACCGACCGGATCAGCCGATAGGATTTATCAAAAAAGAATGAAAAATTATTACGAATTTTTTTACTGAACAGCAGAGTGTAAAATTTAACATACTGCTCCACATGAATTTCTAGTTACAGAGAGAGATTTAGGAGATTATAGTTTTGTCTGGTAGCTATAATTAGAACACAAGAATAGCTAGCTAGAAAATTAGATGTTTGAACTCTCTTTATACACGGAATCTACCATAGATCGGCATACACGGAAAATTAGATGTTTTTTTATCGAGTTTTACTTAGTAAGAAGCGTGAAGAACACAAATAAATTCTTTTTTATGGTCTGAAAGAATCTGAACATTAATTATGTCCCCAATTTGTAGAACTTACTAGATTCGTTGACTAAATTTAGTGTTTGACAACTGTGTGATCGATCCCTCAATATTACCGCTGCAAAACCATGCGTTGTGATTTAAGATCGTGTAGAATCATCAAATGCTAGAAAATATACTAACATGTCGATTTAATCGCTTGTTTTATTCTTTAGAATCGAAGGTTAATCGCTAGTTGGGCCATCCACCAAATCCAAACGAGTAACAACTTTTAGAACGTTGATCATTGCTAGTTGTCTTGTCACAACCATATATATGTATAAATCTGTAGTTTTTAATAGAAATTTTAAAATTGCATGTGTGCATATTGAACATGCGGTTAAGGAACGCAAAACGTCGATCATTGCTGCTACTTGAATTAGTATATATGTTCATATTCAAATTTGCAACTACCTTGTCTTTAATCATGTAGCTAGAATTTGTATTTAATTTGGATGTTTATGTAAGACTAGTTTCAAAACATATAAAAGTTATACAGAATAAAATATATATAGAGATATTTTAAACAAAGAATCATGGAAAAATCGAATAAGTTGTCATATTGGAATCATTCTCAAAGCTAACCCCTGCCACGACCCACGAACAAATATAACCTCTAGGTTTGATTTCACATGTGTGGAAATGGTTTATCTTGAACTATTTGATTTTGAGTTCTAACCCTCCTGCTTAATTCACTAATTATTAATAACAAACCAATATTTTGGTGTGTGGCTATTCTATAATTCAACATTATTTAAATTCGTTTTACATGATCCTGATGCTCCACACCAGAATCGAACCTTCAAGATCATTAAATAAAATCAGATATAGTCAACCAATTGACTACAATTATATATAAACTGTTATTTACTATTTTGGTGTTAGATATTTTTTTCTTAAATACTTATAAAATTTATTTCTTAGATAGATTGGTCATACTAATAATTAATTTGGCTTCCAAAACTGTTCTTAAATATCAAAATCATTGACAAAAAAATAAATAGACAATTGGTCAAATCAAATATAAGATGCAAGAATCTCTTGGATAAAAACGTGCAAGTGAAACATGTTTATAGGGAGATTAACCGCCTAGCGGATGAGTTAGTAAACTATGCGTTTACATTGCCTTTGGGTTTTCATTTTTTAGATGTTGTTCCAGCTTGTTTGTTTTTAACTTTGACAGAGGATTTGTATGGATCTTCTAGATCACGTTTGATTCGATTATAAAAGTCTTTGTTTAATAAATTTGAGGATGCTTTAATCCCCTGACTTATACCAAAAAAAAAAAAAACGTGCAAGCGAAATTTTTTAAGATTTTACAATCTCGAATCTATGTTTTTAACTTAAAATTTATCTGAATCCTCTTTATTATACCTTAGAGAAACCTCATATGCATATAAATATTTGTTAACATATATGCTTCTTGAAAAATAATAAGTATTGAATTTTTATATATAGATAATGTTTATGTAGTGACAAACATGATAATGCATTGAGATCACGATAAGGGATAATTGAACAGTGAATTTGAGTTGAAAACTTAAAATAACTAAAAACAGTTGACACACCATTTTCAACACGAAGAAGAAAATTATAAAAGCCTAATAAAAAAGTCACGAGTATGTATTATAAATAAAAGATTTATTCAGTCGGCACTGCAAAAAATAATTTATCTCGTTATATGGTGTTGTTGTCTTGAATTCTAAAAGGAACTTTTATTTATTTATATTTATTCTAAAGAGAACAATATTTTGCTTTCGGGAGCCAGAAAGGTATCATTAATTGCATACTAGATCCTACTCTTTTACGTAATTGGATTAGTTCTGACTTTATTTTTCTTTAATTTTTCCTTTTTCAAATTTTCATAAATTTTAAAAACACTATAGCTGAGTAATAAAATACTATAATAATTGAAAAATTGTAGTACAACAAACTGAACAGAACAAAATTAATTTAATCAAATAATTATAAAATGCTGAAAAGCTAGTTTTAGTATATTACTCACATTTTGTTTTTCCGGTTATAATAAATTAGTTGTATATAGTGAAAAATTCAAAACACAAAAATTTAATAAATGTAAATAATAATAAAAATAGCGTAATCAGTTTACTAAGCATAAAAATGTAAATAAGTAGTATACCATTTATCACTTAAGTAATATTAAAATGTGAAAACTTGATTAGATGTAAATAATAATAAAGTAGTAGCATGAAAATGTAGAAAAAAACACAACTTTACATTTTATTAAGTCATAACTATCTCATCATCTTTATTAAATCACACAACTTTGTTTTAAGCAATAGTAAACAAAGAAAATTCCCTAATAAAACATCCCTCACTCTCTCGGTAGTAAAACAAAAATTTCTGAAGAAACAAGCAAAAATATGGATTTTTTTTTCTTGTTAAAGTTATTTTTTTAATGTTGAGGTTAAAGGCAAATATGGATTTTATGCTGTTGTCATGATTAATAAAAATATGTACGGGTCTTTGAAGAGCAGCAAAATCAAAATTTAGCCCGTGGGTCCTTTTTACTTTTACTCACTAGACTTAGTGCAATATTTGTCCCATATCTTCCCCTTTTTTTTGCCACACCCCACCTCCTTCCTCAAACGAAATTGTTGCATATAAATAAGGGAGTGATTGAGAAATGTAGACAAATACCCATTAAGCTCTGTCTCTCACTTTCATTCATTTACTCATTCCCCAAAATTATACGTTTCTAACAAATTCTCAAACTTTTTTCTCAAACTTGATTCCTTTTTTACTACCCAAAACCTCCAAAATCTCACCCCAAAAATAAAAAAAATACAATAGTTAATATGCCATTGGTGTTTTTGGTATAAAAGTTCTTCTTAAAAGTAAGAATGATAGCTTTAGAGAGTACGTCCAAGAACTCGGCAACTAACTCAGTGAATCAAGAGAGCAAAGGAGAGAAGACGAGCCCGGTTAAAGATTCCGGTAAGCATCCGGTTTACCGTGGAGTCCGAAAGAGGAACTGGGGAAAATGGGTGTCGGAGATAAGAGAGCCGAGGAAGAAATCTCGTATATGGCTCGGAACGTTTCCTTCGCCAGAGATGGCGGCGCGTGCACACGACGTAGCCGCTCTGAGCATCAAAGGAACATCCGCGATACTCAACTTCCCTGACCTCGCCGGTTCTTTCCCACGGCCAAGCTCGCTTAGCCCTCGTGACATCCAAGCCGCCGCTCTAAAAGCCGCACACATGGAGATCATCATGACGACCTCACAGTCTTCTACTTCTTCTTCATCTTTTACGTTTTCCTCCTCACAGTCTTCTTCTTCGCTGGAGTCTCTAGTGTCTTCCTCTGGGACCGTCTCGGAGGAGCTAGGAGAGATCGTCGAGCTGCCGAGTTTGGGATCGAGTTACGACGGTTCCACTCAGCTCGGTAACGAGTTCATATTCTCTGACTCTGCAGACTTTTGGGTTTATCCACCTCAGTTGTCAGAAGGTGATTATGAGATGATTCCTGGCTCATTATCACAGGATTGGGATCTTCAAGGACTGTATAATTATTAAGTAATAAAATAATCTTATAAAAAAAAACTCCATATGGGTTACTAGTAATGCTGTGTTTAATTACCTTTTAGTGAACCCTTTATTTTGTGGGGTGAGTTTAGGGTTACTTTTCTTAATGTGTGTGTGTGAGGAAGAGAGCTCTATATATGAATACTTGTACAAATTTCTCATAATCTTTTTTTTGTTGTGTTAAATTCGATGTGGAAAATTTTGAAAAATAAATAGTATTAGACTAGCAGCCCATGGAAACCACGTACCTTTCTATTTTGAATGTAGGTTGTTGATTTGAAATGATTCAATAATTCCTTTTCTCCATCGCAAATTAAAAATTTATTCCGATTATAAGCATAAATTAATCCTGACCAATTGTGGGTGTTTCCCTTTTCTTTTTCCCCACTATCAGTACTTATTGGAATTTTATATTTGATGAATATATATTAAGATACTCAACACTTACAATAATTTTGCCTTCGAGTCTTATTGCATTAATAATCAAACAATGTGACTTTTTACTCATTGCAGCATTTCCTTTTGCGACCTAAATACAAAAGAATCTCTTCTTCTGTCTTCCGAGCACTAAGTGTAATATTGTAATACAAGTAGCTAGTTTGATAAGATTATTTGTCTAGGAAATAAACTGTAATGGATGGTTCAAAATGGATCCCATTTTTTTTTTTTGTCACAATCGTACGTCTCGTTTCTTATTTGTTGTCGAAAAAAGGCTATAAACTTTAATGATTAAGCGTAATTAGAATCCGTCACTATCCATTAATTGATTGTCCTGAGTAGAGAGGTTGAAAGAAGAATCTATTGAAATGACGTACGTCTCTATAATTAAAGATTAAATGAATGCAATATGTTCATGGCTCCATGAATCTAAATCTTGCAAACATTATTCCGAAAAAAACATGCAAACACTGAGATCTAAAATGCAAATTCGAATTCGGGTATCTCGGAATAAAATGAAGAGCATAAACTTCAGAAACCAGATACAGAAATGTTTGAACAAACTTTTAATATAAAAACTTAACCTTTTTCTTGCTTGCCATTTCAAGGATGCTCTCAATAATTGTCTTTGTGAAAGATATTTGATAGTGGAGTCCGATATAGTAAGGAAAGTATATACTATGTGCAAAACCTTAATTTTATATGGTTTGTCCCGACAATACAATATTCATTTTTTAGCTTTACCAAAGAAGTTATAAAAAGCTGACATTTTGATTGTTGGGAAATTTTGTAATCAACGTCCAGGTAATTAATAATTGATTAAAAGAATAACTACCTTAAAATAATGCAACCTTCAAAGCCGTTTATTTGTATTGTTGCTTTTAGGTTTTTTTAGTTATTATATAGATGTTCTAGAGAACTCAATAACATGATGATATATCAGGCATTATATTCCAGATATCTTTTTATGCATATCTCCATTGATATGATTTCTATAAAATATTATATTATCCGTTCAACCATAAAAAAGTATATTAGACTTGAAATGTGTAATGGAGCCTCCTCCTATGACTCAAATTCGAAATCTGCAATATTTTGAGTAGTCTTGAGAGCTTTTCCGTCATATATAATGTTTCGGAAACTTGTAAGTTTATTACTGAAACAGGAATACTTTCACACTTGTCTGTTGATAGTTCAACAAGCTATATAGGTAAATGTTTTACGAAGAAGTTTGCAATTGATTTGGTTTTGGTTGTCATTTTTCGCGCAGGCCATTCGTCAAACAATGAGGCCAACCTCAAGACAGTAGAAACATGCAAAATCCCATATATATACAGTATATATTATCATAATTAAAGTCCAACTTAAAGAAAAAAACAAAAAAGGAAGAAGAATCGACATAAGTCATCGATTTTAGAAATTTAAGAGTCCACTTTATCTCCAAAGAGGGGATAACTTTAAGAAATACTATAACGAGGAACAGAAATGGTCAATGACTGTTGGAAAATAAATTTAAGTATCAAGAAACAATGCATGCATTTTTGTTTTACATCTATTATTGCAAGGTTGGCAACAAACTAAAACTTATTACATTTTATAAGAATACTTATATTGTGAATGACATTGCAACGACGGTGGTTGGATGATATGGATGTCACAGTAGCATCATTTTTTCGAATATCAAAAACAGACAACAACGGTTTTTTTTTTTTTTTTTGGTGTGCAAATGACAAATTGACAACAACGGTTTCTTATAACCCTTTAACATGATAAAGGGTTCAAAAGTCAAAAAGCCAAAATTTTAGTCTTTTGACAAAAAAAAAAAAAAAATTGACTGGATGAGAAATAGAAAGACTCATAAGTGGGCCATTAAGCTCGACTGTCTAGTGAATTAAACACAAAACTAAAAGTAGATGCGAATTCTCATTTTCTCTAATGTTTCGTCATGTGTGGCGTCGACAATGTTACTTATATTTAAATCATAGTTATCGCACTTTTACTGGCCAGAAAATTTGTAGCACTAGAGGTAAAAAAAACTTCTTGTCGACCAAAAACTCTGTTCCTTAATGCAAGTCCATGCGAATTTGGCGATACGAATCCTGAATATATTGGGCCAACAACAGTATGATCTCATCCACATTATTATTAAAAAATGTCAAAACAAGATCATCATAATACCATTTCATTGCCACATACGAAATGTACAATGAGACTATAAGCAGAGAGAGTCAGCTCACAGAAAATACAAGTTATACCTTAATACAGGTTTTTCTTTCTGTTCTGTTCATAGCATACTACAACTCGCTTGATGCGGACACCAAGCATGTAATAAAAAAGACTCGAGTTGTAAAGAACAATATACAGAACATGCAGAAAACGAAGACAAGAACAAGAGGAGACTTCTGTGTTTCTATTCCCCTCTATCTACAAAGCTCATCCCTCCTCCTGCTCTCTTCGGCTCTGTTAATGGTGATTTGTTCTCATATGGTAGTCTTTACCTGCTCCACAACTGAATTTGAATAGAGAGTAAGTAAGGTGCAGAGAGTATCTGTTTTGAGTACTGAATGTTGATGAGAGAGGTAGTGAATCTTCAAGAGTATTAGATTTCATCTCAGGATTGAGAAGGAAGTTAACTGGTTCAAGAAATTACCTGACAAAAAAACTCACAGATCGTATATTTTTTCAGGCATTCTCTGTGCTAGGAGCAATAGAGTTGTTGTTTTGCTTTAATGCATCCTGCTTACACAAGCTTGGTTTTTTCCCTGAGCCCCGAAGTTTTCTGACCTTAAAATCTTCACCCTTGATCATATAAACATTCCCAGGTGCGTCAGGAATGGTGAAATCAGCCGGGTTTCTGTTGACAGTGCACACATAAGGTCCAGAGATGCTCGTTGGAAGAGAAACAGAGACGGGGTTGCTGCTCTGAGCTTTCTTCGTCTTATTTTTCTTGGCGTTATCTGTCATGTGAAATTTCAGTGGCAGCATCATTGAATCTGACGCTCCAAGAAGCTGGAATTTCCCTGGGTCGCTGCCGCTGCTGCTGCTCGTAAAGGTGGGCTTCTGCTGATGACTGTTGTTGTAAACCGGCGCAAAGTCTCTGTCTTTCCTCTTGGGTTTTTTCTCCTGATGATGACGATGATTCCATGGAGCTTGGAGTGTGAAGTCAACGTTCTCTGCAGGGCTCTTTTCACTATGAAATGATATTGAAGATGTACCAACAGGTGGAATGATGGAGAAACTCTCACGGGGGGTCTCGGAAGTCACTCTTCTGCTGTAAAGATCGAAAGGCCACTGCTTTGTGGAGTAAGGAGTCTTATTACAGTCCCCTGCTTGAGGTCTTTTCACAAACTCAGTGTTTCGGCTCTGGTCATTGGGTACGTTTGACCTCAGCCGCGGATCCATGAGGCTAAGTAGGTGCATAGCTGGTATACTGCTTTCGTTAGAGTAACTGTCCGATGATTTGCTACTGACCCCTTTAAAGATGCGTTTCTGCATCATGTTGCCAGCAAAATTCAGGTTCTGCGTGTTGGGATTATCCAGCTTTGTTGACGGGTCCATAAACTTCTGAGGGGTATTGAGAGAAACTGGTTTCTGAGGATGTGTTGATGTCATGGGAGATGGCCAAATCGGCTGAGAAGCTTCTCTATACTGCTGCTGTTGAGCACCTTGGCACGTGTTACACGCACGTAGCACCCGGAAAGAGGATGCAGATGGGTTCTGGTGATTAGCCATAGTTGTTGGGACATTGCCTAGCCACTGGCAATTGTGGCCGGTTTGCTGATTAGGACCTACTACAACAGGCAGCTTGATGGAGCTTAGTTGGTTATCTCGTGTAAGAGGAGATATCCCAAACGCGGATGGCACATTATAAGGCTGACCAAACTGATTCATCGGGAAAAACTCCAGAGAGCTCTGCTTTCCGGCCATGAAATGTCCTTCCTTTGGTTGCCTGATTGTGTTCTCCATGCTGTTATCGTAGGTTTCATTGAGATCAATCAACAGAGCGTTCTTGGACAAGCTGGTCGTCGCTTGCGATGGCTGTTTGTCCTCTTCTCTGTCAGGAAGACACCTCTCGTACTGGTTTTTAGCCATAAGCTCGACTATTTCCATGGGAATATCATCTATATGCTCACATGTCTTGCTTTGGCTTCTGGTTGCTCCGGGAAGTTCCTGGACCACAACTTCCTTGCCCTTTCCGTGAGCCGTGGAAATATCCTGCTAAGTAAAAGCAAAACACTTTTTTTAGCCTGACTCGTTCATCACTTTGGAACAGTGACAACAGTCATCAAATAAGAACAGACCAAGAAGATAGAGACCAACTAAGTCTGATATCTCAAAAGTTGAGAGTTTTCTTTCCACAATAGGAATCCATAATAGGAAAGTTCAAAATTTTGTTGCATACCTTTTGCGGAGCACGAGAAGTATCCGCAGCTTCAGTAAAAGAGGTGTGTCTTAGCTTATCATTCAGCGAAGATGATGGTCCTATGGTATCTCTGTTGCTGCTAAAGTTAACACTTGCTCCAGTTCTCAAGCACCCATCCGCGTTGGTGGGCTTAAAGGAGGAACCGAAGTTCCGAAAATGGTTTGTCCCTAAACCTTTCAGCATCGCACGATCACCTTCCTTGTACTGCATTTTATCTTGCAAAGGCAGTGGAAACACTTGCCTATCATCAACCTGAGGAGTACACTTATTAAAATGCCCATCTGGCGCCGAGAGTTGAGCAAACGAACTGTCAAGCCATTTCGAATTCAGAAAATCTCGAGTGGATTGTGGCATTGTATCTCTGGGACAGACTTGCGGGAAATTATCTGGCTTTCTCAGGTTTGCATCATCCATGTCGTTACTAAAATCAATAATGGTACTCTTATTGTTATCTACCATAGCTTTCCTCTTTCTCTTTTTCGCTAAACTGAGATCTTTCTCTGTTCTCTGTGTATGCAGAGTACAAGAAACCAACTCTTTCCCAGGAAATGAAGAGCGAGCAGGACTCGCATAGTCATATGGATCCTTTTCTCGATCTTCTTCCACAACTTGAAACCTTTTGTTTCTCTGTTTCCCAATAATGGGCTCCTTCTCAAATCCGCTGTCAGTGGATTGGTTCTCGACGCTTGGTCTCGACTCTGCGCCAGAGACAGTGTTATCTTCAGAGTCACAGCTCTTGGAAGCGTTCTCAGAAGTTTTGCCGATTGTGCTCAGTATCCGGCTGGCGTAATTCGTCGTCATCTCAGCAGGTCTGCTGCACTCCTCGTCTCCGCAAGACTTTCTTTTTCTACCTCTAACCGATTCCTTCTTCGACAGAGCTTCTCTGCTTCTATTGCTCAACAGCTCACTGAGTAGACGGACCTTCCGAGTTTTCCTACGATGCAACCCGAGAAGGTTTCTGCTTTCTGGCGACACGTTAGCATCGCATTCATCCTGTTCCGCCGAAACGTGACTGTGCTTATCACTCTTCTTGATTGTCTTATCAGGCGTATCATCAACCACACCAGCGATCTCAGATGAGCCAAAAGCTGTCACTGCTTCGAAAGTCTCTCCGCCATTAACAGCCTCTTCACGGCTCTCTTTCCAGCTAAAGTCCCTCGAAATGTTTGCCTTTTCTCTAGATCTCTTGCCGACTTTAGCAAATTTGCTACTCTTGATCTTAACGGTCGAAGCATCCTTAGCTCTGCGGCGAACTTTCTTGAGCAATGTAGCTGCATAGCTTACAGAAGTTATATAAATCTGCTTCCAGAGAGAGAGAGAGAACAACAAAACCGCAACTTTAAAACTCAGATTTGCAGCATTACCTGTCTGAACATCATTGTTCTTCTCTCTCTTGTCGGTGACAATCAGCGAGTTCGGTCCTCTTTTACTTGGGATGGCTAAAGCGTCAGCATCGAGCTTCTGCTCCCTCGAGTGTGATTGCAATCGACAATCTGAAAAAGAAAGGCCCCAACTTTAAGCTTGAGACCACTCATAAAACATATGAATTAAAAATGAAACAGCTTTAGCAATTCATGTGCTTTTCTAATTTACCACTCTCATTAGTCATGTTGAGATCTCTGATGCAGCTCGCACAACCCCACCATCTGGACTTTACAACTGGTAAAGAGGGAAGAGAATAGCTTTGGTGGTTCCTCAACTCAGTGGTATCTTCTGGAAACGGCCAGCATTTCTTGTGGTCTCTCTCGCGGATCTCAGCTAAAAATCCACTGCATTATTAAGAATTAATACAAACTCAGTTCACAGAATGATAATAAAGATCAAATCGTGGCATATATAATCAATAGCTTACAGTATGGAGAAATGTTGGCATTTCCCCGCATCAATTTCATCAGCTGCGTCTGCTAGATCTATGGATATTGAATTTATCTTGATGGATGGTTCCATAATGATTTTGCCTTGTAGGAGATTCACACAGACTCGCTTCTCTCTTTCAGTACCATTTGTATACTAAAGCAGCAACAACAACAAAAAGTTTACTCCGTTATTGCATATAAAAGAATACTCGAGACATGATCTTGAACCATAACATTTCCATGAAGAAAACACATAAGAGTAGATGATCCCCTTTGTCAATATTTGAGTCCCAAAAGGAAATAAAGAACCCTAAGGTAATCTCTACATAAAATCAAGAACAAAAAGCTTCACCATAGCTGGATTCCATGTCGATTCCTCACCGTAATCAATTTCGTAGGTCACATAAACGCACGATTGATCAATTCCAGATAAACATATATAGATATTTACGCCGACCTAAAATTAGGGTTTTTTCAGAGACACGGGGACCTCAAAAAGCTGCGACCTTTCTTGAGTGTCTCTCACCAGCAAATATCTATGGACCGATTTCAATATCGTCTTCTTCCCAAATCCCACAATACGCGAGATATACCAATTAATTTTATAATGTTTAAAGTCATTTAGGGTTAGTAATCGTAGATTAGAAACTAAATTAGGCAAATAATAGGACAATTAATCGCATTCCCTAAACAAAAACAAACCCATCATTAATACGGCTTAACGCGAAGGAGAGCACGACTCGCGAGACGAACAATAAACAGTGAAGCTTAGCGAAATGCCCTCAAGAATTAGAGTCAAGGTACAAGTCAAACGGAAACACGTTTCCGACAAGATTAGCCATTTATTTACCCCCAAACACCACGAAACGACAGACAAAATTAGAGATTTAGGTCGGAAACACGCACCTGGATAGTCCGAGACGAAGAAATCAGACCGTCGTATGAAATCCAGCTCGATCCTCCGCGGCGAGGGGAAAAAACTGTATCAGCAGATAGAGAAGGTCGTATAGAAGAAGATTATAGCAGGTATGAAGATCGATTCTTCTTGAAATGAGTATAATTTGAGTGCGAATCTTGGAGAAACCCTAAGCCTTCACGCAAGAGAGGAGAGAGAAGAGGGCTTTTTTTTACTTTGCTGGTAGAGAGAGAGAGAGAGTGTGTGTCTTCGAGAGAGAAGAGAGATAAAATAAGCTTTTGGCTTTTTTATCCTTGAAATGAGGGTTTGGTAATTAATTAATAAATAAATAAAGGAAATTTCCAAAATCGTTTCATTTAAAAACTAAAAATATGAAGAAGCCCATCTGTGTTAAGCATTATAAGGCCATGTATATATATATGTAGATGCACACGTCAAACCGTGAATTTATTATATTAGATTTAATAAACAAATGAATACTTTACTTAAAAAATGGATGTTGACAGCAAAAAAAATAATTATACTGTATTTCAATTTGCGTAGAAGAAAATAAAATAGGAAGCTCATTTCATTTATTTTTATTATTTTTCCTACAGAAAAATATTATATATCTACATATTGTGTGTTCTGTCTGATGCGACCGGTGAACGCACACGAAACCAGTAGGAAATTGACACGTGAAGATAATGCGCGGTTCTTATTACACAACCAAACCAAACGGTGTAAGGTTCTATCCTAAAGAGCAAAACCCTAGGCGCGTGTAGTTCCGGCAGCACCATTTTGCGCGTGTAGTATAGAGTCCGCCTCTTTATGCGGATCCGGGGGGCTTCTAGGCACATAGGTGGCAGGACATTGGACCGTGTATTTCACGCGGAACGAGGGAAAGTGGGGGAGGATTGATATGAATAAATAAACCCTAAGAGGCACTATAAAATTGTAATGTCGCCCTAGAAAAGCCCATTTTTATCAGTAAAATTAAAATTTATATAACCCTAATCTTTACAAAGGGGTTCACATGAGTTTATTTTAAAAATTCGTTTCTTTATTTCAATATAAGTGTGTATTTTATGGGGGTTGTGGAGGAATCATCATCACATGATACCCCACCCGTTAGGATAACCTATGATATACTTCTTGCATTTTTCTTTTTTTGGGTCAACATACTCCTTGCATTTAAACACCTTTTTATCAATATTTTTGTATTTGATTCACTTATTCCATAAACTAATTTGCTCTACTTGGCACTTACTATACTACTTACTATATTGAAGTATATGTATATCCCAATAAGAATTATATATACATTGGCAGCTAAAATTTATTGCCTTTGGTTGCGGTCGGGTCTCATTCTGAATCTTTTAACAATATACATAGTCAATTCTTTCTTTGTCGAAAATTGGATATTTTGGGAAAATATGACCCGATCTTCGACCAATCAAAATTATACATGATACATGCCTTCTACCGATCGAGTTACAGTATATAAGTATAAAAATCATTAACAAAAAAGTGCATATAATATATATATATATATATATGTGTTTATGTCGATATGTATGATGTATCAACAAAAATCAATAAGAGTGTTTATATGCGCATACGTGCATATTATTGAGTTATACATATATAGGAAGACAGGAGGTGTTGCGAGATAATGTGAAGTTTAGGGGAATGGGCCTCATGGACACTCACTCACTTCCTTTTATAACTAGATTGATTTTTGGTTCTTCCGCACATCAGACCATCACACGCACACGCACATACTGGCATATAATATATGCACATATTAGCATATTATCCTCTTGCATGCATGTGTCGTATAAGTGCTTAACGCTCCACCACACAGACCTATACTATATATAGTCCGTTGTGGGGTTATATACGAAAAAATAAGCTATTATAAAAGTACTGGAATAATGGATATTAATTACATACAACCATTTAGATCGTCGTAGATGAATGGCTGTAATTGTTTTCCTCAGCCACTAAAATGTAAGTTTTGTAAGCGTCACATAACATCAAATCAGGGGGAAGTTTTTTACTGGTGGAAACTAGCTAGGGACATTTGTGCAAAAATATTAGAGCAATGTTAGAATTGTCATACAGCACGTGCACAGTTTATATATGCTAACTATTACATCTGCTCCACCTACTGGGGAATGGGTATTTACCTCTTCTTGAGCTGCGATTTCAGCAACTCGATCTGGATCTCTGATCAGTTCGGCCTGAGCTCTTGATCTATTTCAGCACAACTTCTACGTAGTCTATTCATAATTGATAATACCATACGTACGTTAGAAAAAGAGGAACTATAGGCTCCACAACTAGTTGTCTTTTTCCGACAAGATATCATAAGCTGATGGATATCCGTTTAAAATTCGGATATTTAACTAGACATCCGAACCGCTATGTAATTATCACTAAAGGATGACGAGGTTTGCTTTGAGTCTTGGTAGCTTACAACATTCAGGAATATGTTCATCTATGTAAAGAGAGTTGAGTGAGAATTTACCCGAGAATTAAATTTGACATTGTCGAGCGACTGCGATCATTCGACGTGATTCATCAGTTTCATTGGGAGGAACAATGAAAGGGGAATAGGATGTGTCATGTCATTGTCTTTCTTTTTTTTTTTTTTTTTTTAAATGGCCCAGGATGTGTCATTGTCATATTCATAATCAAATTTCGGATTAAGTCAAATACTACGTACATTAGTTACATCTGAATGAGCAACCGTCATTACATATTTTTTTGATATTTTTAAATTTTTTTGATAAAACCCGTCATTATTTACATGTTTATAGTCATTTTATGCGTAATTTATGTAGTCTTTATATTACTTGGTTAACTCTTTGTTATGTTTATTTTATAGTGTATTTTTCTTCTTCTTGATGATCGATTGAAAATTGTTTAAAATTCTAAAAAATTATATGGTATTTGATAGATATGATCATGAGTTAATAACTATGTGAATTTGTAAGGACAAGAAATCATGTAATTTTGCAATTAATCATGAGGAAGAAGACATGTGGAATGTATAAGTTGATTTGCAAGTAATCGGGATAAATCGGATTTTTTTTTTTTTTTTGTTATACGGATTTGAACCCACCTATATAAATGGACCATTAGATGAACCATTAGGAGTCGGGTTTTTTTTTTTAAAAAAAAATTTTGTGTGATAGGAATTAAGAAAAAGTCGAAAAAGTTTTTTTAAAAAGGTTAAAAAGGAAAAAAAATATTTCGGGGCGACTAAGGTTAAAACCCCTCAATTTGTCGGACGGCGAATAAAAAGGACGATGCGGTGTTAAGCGACGGCGGAAGTAGTTTCATCTCTCCGTTAATTTCCGTAAAACTTTTCTCCGTCTCATAGAATGTCTTCTTCGAAGCGGAAGCGCGACGCCGGAACCGCCGTGGAAGAGAATCTGGATGGTGGAGAAAGTGGCGACGGTAGTGATAAGAGCAATACCAAGAGCAAGTTCTTCGATATATATGGACCGGAAGTAATCGCTTCCTCTGAAGCTTTTTATGATTTGATTGATTGGTTTATATCGAAACTTATGCGCTTTGCTGCTCAAATCGTGAATCTGATTTTTGATTCTTCTTCTCCGCAGGCGAAAGCTGAACTCGTTTTCAACAGCCCGGAAACAACATTGAACTTACAAGTAGGTTTTTGAAATGTCAATAAACTTCTCTAATTTGAGTTTATGAAAAATTTGAAATTTGAGTGATGTTTAAACGGGTTTGAAACAGGATGTTCAGGGACTTGTGACCTGGGTTCTTGCAGAAGGCTATATGCCCTCGTGGGTATTTATCAAGGTATTGACCACTTTTTATTGTTTGAAACTTGTTTAAGGATATGTGTTGATAATTGAGCTTTGGAGTTTTAGACATATGTTGTTGTCTTTAAGGTGTTCTGAAGTATATATAACATTCAAGAATATGGTTTGCAGAATAAGCCTCTCATTCCGAAAGTTGTCTTGCTCTACCTTCCTGGATTGGATGCAGCTTTATACCTGTCACAGTCTAAAGCACTTGCTAGCTTGAAATCATGTTGTGGCAATCCTATAGCGCTTTTAGCTTTGAGGTTAGTGTAAGTTTTGGTGCTTCTCTCTACTTATTATGGCCTATTTGAATACAGATTATCTCGGTTTAACTGTTGGTGAAACATCTTTTTGATTTTTCCTCTCGTTTATGTTAGCTGTGTAGTTGATGAGATGAAGACAATCGATACGATCCTTACTTGCCCGGGTAAAAAAAAGAAAACTGCTACTAGTTCAGTAAAACCACCTCCTCTCCTAGAATCTACTGGGCCAGGTACTGGACTCCTTACAAACTGGATCTGATCAAACACATGATGATTCTTGATTTTCAATTTGGCAGTTCTTCTCATAAGGCCCTAACTGCATAACATCTTTTGCTTGTAGAAGCATGCAATCTGATGGGGAAATCGTTCACTGAGCTCACTAAAGATATACCATTCCCTGTTACATACTATACATTAAGTCGAAAGGAAATGGAACAAAATGGATACACTTTTGAGACTGGTACGAGCTCCATCTATTTAAGATTCACAGCTTAATCCTGTTTAAGCTGTTAACCTTTTTGGCTCTGTGCCTCAACGTATGAGGATTTTCTTATCGTTATGCAGATTTTATCTCTACACTTCCTGCACCATCAGGATCATGCCCACCTGAAATTTTGGCTCTTGATTGCGAGATGGTAAACAACTATCTTCTATTGCCTTTCATGATGACGCTTTGTGATATAATTATTTGAGCATATATGATTTTGTCAAAACTTATAAACATTTTTTCTTTTCTTTTCTTTTTGTTTCACACTAGTGTATTACAAAAGATGGTTTGGAGTTGACAAGAGTGACGCTGGTAGATATCGAAGGACAGGTATCTTCTTCCTTACTTGCTTAAGTTTGCTAGATTTTTTCTTTTCTGTTTACTAAGTTAAGTTGCCATGATCGCGCAGGTTCTATTAGATAAATTAGTCATGCCAACAAATCATATTACTGATTACAATACAAGGTAAGCGATGTTGATATGCTTGGATACAAATTTATAAAAGTACATCTTAAACAGAATGATTCAGTCACATGGTATTGGTATTGGTTTGCAGGTATAGCGGAATAACAGCTCAGATGATGGAGGGAGTGACAACAACTATTAAAGATATTCAGGTTTCACGAGATCCTTTTAACTTATATTACATACGGGTGAAGAAGTTTGAATTGAAGACTTTACATGGTCTAGTATAATTAAGAGCCATTTTGCTATGTTCAGGAAGAGTTCTTAAAGCTGGTTTTCAAAGAGACAGTATTAGTCGGGCACTCGTTGGAAAATGACTTGTTATCTCTGAAGATCTCTCACAATCTGGTGATTGACACTGCAGTACTGTACAAACACCCGCGGGGTGGATCTCATAAAACTAAACTTCGAATTCTAGCAAAAAAGTTTCTTGCTAGAGAGATACAGATGTCTGAGTCCGGACATGACAGCGCCGAGGATGCAAAAGCAGCCATGGATTTGGCACTATTGAAGATAAAACACGGCAAGAGATTCCTACTGTTAACGTCACTGTTTAAATCTGTTTTTGTTTTTTCTTTGTATCCTTTGAAGTGATTTTCTTTTTCTCTGGCTTCCTCTAGGACCTGACTTTGGCTCACCACCGGATCTGGTAAGGAAGAAGCTCCTCGCCGTTTTGAATGAGAGCGGTAAAACAACTTCTATCATCGACGATATCAACATCGTGAAGCGATATGCTTCTGAGTCATCAAATTCAATTCCAGTATCTTCGGACAGCGAAGCCCTTTCAAAGGCCATGAAGGAGGTAGAAACTTCTAAATCCATCGATTCCCTTTATATTTTCTCGTCATCTTTCTAAAAGTTTAATACATGTGTGTGGTTTATATGCTTCTAGGTAAAGAACAAGCGGTCGCAATTCGTTTGGACACAGTTCTCAGAATTGAATACTCATTTCCAGAGCAGAGCGGATGATCCACAAAAGCTAAATTCCAGACTTGCAGAGATGATCTCACTGCTTACATGCAGCAATGACTCAGGGCTCAAGAAACGCCGCAAAGGCAAAGTTTCAACCGAAACGAAGGAGATCTTGAAGAAAATGGATAAGAGAGTCAATGATCTTTACGCTGCATTACCCACAAATGCAATGTTTATCGTTTGCACCGGACACGGAGACACATCCATTGTACACAGGTTTGTAGCACTCATTTCAAATCTGAAAAGTGTTTGTTTATTCTCAAAAACGAATCTCTCTACTTGTGAATTTGCGATCTGATTTGGATTTGTTTATTGTCTGTTTCTTGCTGGTGGGTTTGAAGAGTGCGGAAAATGCTTAGAGATGAGAATGAAATTGAGTTTGGCCGTGAGAAAGTTGTGAAGGTTCTTGAAGAACTTCAAGCACAAGCAGAAGTAGCTCTCTGTTTTGTAGGAATCAAGCAATAAGCGTACAACACACAGCCGCCAATTTTTCCTCGCATACCTTATGAGCAACACGACAGGAACTCATTAGCTTCATCTCAGTATTCAATTTTTAAAAAATTATTGATTTATAACGATTTACGGTAATAGCGATTTACATTTATAGAGTTGAATTTCAAGTTCAGTTACAGTAAAAGGAGAAACAAAGAAGCATCAATATATCTCCAAGCATAAGCAATAATCGAGTTGATTTATATGAAAAATTAATTATCCATAGAATGGATTAGTGAAATAGATGAATCCAAGAACTCAATATTTCATGATGTAACTGATAAATAATTTGTAACGATTTAGTTAGGGATTTGTCCCTTTAATTTTATATACACGTGTGAAACAAACTCGCTATGTCACTCGGAGTCTTCTTTAGCGCCAATTTCCGCTCGTAACCTCGAGAAAACCTAGATCGATCTTGATCGAACGATCCAAACCGTTCATATTCCCTTTTCATCTCAGCCGTTAGATATAGTAATCAAACTCTTCAAAATTCAATTTTTTTTCTTCTAATTTCAAAAGATCCCAAGAGACGACGAAGAAACAAAGGAGAAGCTCTTCAGCTGAAGCGCAGCGAAATCTCTATCCCCCTCCCCTTTGAATTTTCATTTCTATCATTTTTTTCTTCGGCTATGGAGAAATCCGATCAGGATTTGGGTTCTAACCGGAACCTTTTGCCGCGTCAATTGGATTTCTCCGTCCCGGCGGCGGCTGTGGAGACGAAAATGGATTCGCTTCATGAAAGTGGGAAGGAGCAGTCGCATTCTGTTCTCGATTCACAGTCGTCTCGGGAAGATCAGAGAGAAGAAGACTTGCCTCGGCAGCCTCAATCGCCGCCGTCAGGTGCCGAGGAGCAACAGCGATTAGGGGTGAGCTCGCTGATACCGCCGTCGTCTTCCCCAGTTAGATCTTCGCAGATAGATTCAACGGAAGTCAGCACACAAGATGCCACGCCGCCTCAGAAACCGCCGCTTCATCGGTTTGGTCACCAGTTGCAGAAGAATCCATTGGCGAAGTGTCGAGTGAGGTAAATACGAATATAGTTATCAATTTGATTCGAAAGTTTTGATCCATTTTTTCGGCTTTTGGGATTTTAGCGTTTTGATTGTTTATGAAGCAAGCAAGATCCTTTGACCCCACGTGGGCAAGCGGAAGCTGAGTCCAAGGATGCTACTCCGAGTAAACAGAAGCATTGCAACTGTAAAAGTTCGAGATGCTTGAAGCTGTAAGTACTCAATTCTCCATTTTTTTTTTGTTAAAGAGATTTAAACATTCTGTGATGATATCTCAATCTCTGTTATGATAAACTTTAAAATTCTTAGAAACTTGATGTTAAACGTCAAATGTTCTTCTTATAGGTATTGTGAATGCTTTGCGTCAGGATCTTATTGCAATGGTTGCAACTGTTTGAACTGTCACAACAATTTGGAGAAGGAGACCTCAAGACAAGAAGCCATCACGGGTATCTTAGAGCGCAATCCGGACGCGTTCAAGCCCAAGATTGCTGGTAGTCCTCATGGCATGAGAGATTTGCAGGTGTGATGCTTGTTACTTTACTAATAATTTAAAAGTCTTAGTTTTGTCTCCCAAAAGTGTAACTTGAGGTCTCTGAAAAGGAATCTATGTCATGGGGCTTTAAGTAATGCTTTGGTGTTTCTGTCTCTGAAAAGTCGGTTTCCCTTGGTGTAAGCCTTTAGGCCAAAAAGAAACGATTTTGATTTGCTGATAGTTTTATAACTTGTAGGAGGATGTGCGCCAAATCCTGATTATGGGAAAGCACAGCAAAGGATGCCACTGCAAGAAATCAGGGTGCCTCAAGAAGTACTGCGAGTGTTACCAGGCAGGTGTCCTGTGTTCAGAGAATTGTAGATGTCAAGATTGCAAGAACTTTGACGGAAGCGAAGAGAGAAACGCCCTTCTTCGTGGACCTCAAGTCTCAGAAACCTACATACAACAGACGACCAATGCAGCTGTGAGCCGCGCCATCAACATGTCTGGATACCTGAACGCTCCTGAATCAAGAAAGAGAAAGATCAAGGAGGCTTCACACTCTGTAGCAGCTAGAGGTTCATCTGTGGTTCCACACAATCAGACGGTTATTTCCGAATTATAAGAATCTTTTGTGTTTACTTGTGATAGTTACATGTTAAATCTCAGTCTCTTCATGCATTGAAAGCAAAGTTCTTTATGTGTTTTTTTGTGTTCCATCTAGGTAAGTCACGTTATAAGGAATGGTGACACTTCTCTGTTTTCAGTCCCTAACAACAAAGCGGTATCTGGATCTACCACATGTACTTACAGGTTGGCGAGATCGAATCCTTCCTTTGTATGATACCATCGTAAGGATTTCTCTGACTGTTTACTTTTATAGGTCTTCTTTGTCAAATACTATCCAGCCGCGCCATGTCAAAGAGCTATGTTCGCTTTTGGTCTCAAAATCGGTGGACGTAGCCAATAAACTGTCAGGTACACATATCATGCAGTTTGATATAAAGGAGGATATGTTTCTCATAATATAAAAATCTTTGTTAAGAGAATTCCTAATATGGGGTTTCAGGCGCCAAATGTGAAACAGAGAAAGGGAAGAAATACGAGAAGGACCCTTCACTTGATCCAGCCCAGGGAGATGGTAACGAGATCAATGACTCTCCAGATTGTGTCCTCGATGCTGTTAGAATGGACGAGAAGCCTATATCTCCAGCAACACGTGCATTGATGTGTGATGATGAACATGTGATCATAGCAGAGAAAGAGACATCAGCGCGAGTGAAAACAAGCCAAGAGAAAGAAGACGCAGACACAAGCTCGGAGGTTTACTTAGAACAAGAAAGACAGATCTTGTCAAGCTTCAGGGACTATCTCATTCAGTTCTCGAACCGTGTTAGCATAAATGGTAAGCTGGATTTAGCTTAACTTGAGAAACCGTGTCCTTGTTTAGAATTTTAGAGCTTGGAGGTGTGCTAATATAAGACATTGATAAAGCAGGAACAAATACCAAAACCAACACAAAGCCAAGTAGAAGGGAACCAGAAGCTGAAGAACGAAGCCATCGAGATTCAAGTTTGGGGTAATGCTTAGTGAACTTCTCTGACAAAAACTTTAGCATCTAACTCTTGTTTAACATATGATCATTGTCAAATTTTCTTAAATTTTTTTATAGGAAGGAAAATGAGATAGGTTAACTATTTTCTTCATTTAACTGCTACATTAGTGGTGACTCCTAGATTTCATAAACTGGTGTGTATCTATTTGAATAAAATTGTCACCAAATTTGCAAGTTGCGAGGCCAACCTTGTAACGTCAAAGGAAGAAACACATCAACATTTATGTTTTACTTGGTTTGTGAAGGTTTTATGAAAAGTGGTTGAAAACTCTTTTATGTTCGTTATGATCAACATTTGCCTAACTTTTTAACCTCACAGTCCTTACCACATACAACAACCGCACAAATTTGATTTGACGTTTCATTTAACAAAGGACATAGTAGCACTAGTACTCGTCATAATTTTCATCTTCTGAAAAGTCAGAAAATTAGTTGAAGTATCAAAACAGAGACGTGACATAGGCAACAAGTATAAGCAATTTTACCACCTACTACTTAAAAATATCACGGACTATTAGTTAATTAATTATATTTAGGCTACTTAAATGTCACAAACAAAACGTTAACCAAAAACACATCGTCATTAAGAGATAAGCACAGCCAGGAACAAGCAGGTAGCGAAAATGGTCTGCACGTGCATGCCCGTTTACATCGTAAATTTCGTATTAAAAAAACAGAACAACGAATCTGTTTTTAAGCGATCACGGGAGTGATGAAAACTTCGACTAACGTACTTCATTTTTTCTTTTTATTCTATTTCTTTTTTTGGGGTCAACGAATCTGTTTCTCAGCGATCACAGGAGTGATGGAAACGCAGACTAACGAAGCTTTTAGATCGAAGTTTCTCAGTGTTCTTCGTAGTCGACGTTCACCCGAAGGTTTTTTTTGATGAATTTATTAATTCCTGCTTCTCAATGTTTCTTTTTTCATTTCCAATTTCATAATCTCAGATTTAACTGATTATCTCCCTTCTCTGTTCGATTGATCTAAAAATCTTCACCGTTTGTCTTTTGATGATTGGGAACATTTTCAGTTCCATTGGTAGCGGAATGTTCGAAGCCAGTTGAAAATCCTATTTTTCAAGCTGATGTTCCATCTTCAGAAGTGAGATATTGATCTTTATAAAGATAATTCATTCCTTTTTTTGAAATCTGATTTGATCTGTTTAAACTGTTTTTCATTACCAAACTAGGCAATAGAGTCTTGTCCAAAGGAGAACATTGATAACTTAAAAGAGATGCTCAAAGAAGAAAACCTTCATTTGCACACTGAGGTGATTCATTATTACACTTCTCTTTTTTTCTAAACAAAATTTTCTGGTCTTTTTTTTGTACGTAATTAAAATGTTGTCCTATGTTGTATAATTGGAATGATAAGGCTGGAGAGCAAGGAAGATTGCCTTTGCTTATTCTAAGCTTGAAGGAGAGCACTGAAGAAAGAAGACCAGCGATTGTGTTTATGCATGGTACAAACGCAAACAAAGAATGGTTAAGGCCATGGCTTGAAGTAAAAACATCTAAACTTTCTGAGTCCTCCTAATTAAACCAATAAATTACTCTTTAACATTTCCTCTGTTGATTAATTATACTTTTTTCTTCTCCTGAAGGCATTTGCTTCACGAGGATATGTAGCCATTGGTTTAGACGCTCGCTACCATGGGGAACGTGCTGACTCCAAAACTGCTTATCGAGACGTAAAAAATCATTGTTACCATTATCATTCATAGCAACCTATTTTCTAGTCTTCTGAGTTCTAATATGTGTGAAATCTCAATGCAGGGTCTTATATCATCTTGGAAAAATGGAGAAACAATGCCTTTTATCTTTGATACTGTAGAAACCATTGCTTCTATCTCTTACCTCCATTTTTGTTTTTTGGTCTAGTTTCACTTTAGAGTGTAAGCATTTCTAATCGCATCAGTCGATGTTTCTTGTGTTTTCAGGTTTGGGACTTGATCAAACTAGCTGAATATCTTACTCAGAGGGAAGATATAGACCCCAAAAGGATAGGAATCACCGGTATTTCACTAGGAGGTCAGAGTCATAGAACAAACTCTAGCACTGAGATTTGTAGCTTCTGGTGATAACATATACTAACTTTGTTCATTGTGAAAGCAACATACAGGGATGCATGCTTGGTTTGCTGCTGCAGTCGACACTCGCTATTCTGTGGTTGCCCCTTTGATCGGTGTTCAGGTGCAAAATCATCTTTAGTTCTTCTTTTACCGAAATACTTATAAACAGCATAGCAAACTGTACTACTGATTTGTATGAGGAGGATGTCTTCAAGTTTTAAAAGTTGTATGTTGAGCAGGGATTTAGATGGGCAATAGACAACGATAAGTGGCAAGGAAGAGTCAACAGTTTAAAGCCTTTGTTTGAAGGTTTACATTTTTTTGAGTTAAACACAAATATGATTTTATATTAAGTCTCATTCCTTTTCACTTTTTGTTGTTGTGTGGTTTCAGAAGCAAGGATTGATATGGGGAAGAAAGAAATCGACAAAGAAGTGGTCGAGAAGGTACGAAGCATGACAGTGACTATGAGTTGTTCAGATTGCAACTCAAATAAATGGTTTTGTAACTTGTATTTATTGAAACAGGTGTGGAACAGAATAGCTCCGGGCCTAGCTTCTCAGTTTGATTCGCCCTACTCATTACCAGTGATTGCTCCACGCCCTCTTTACATCCTTAACGGTGAGCACAATCTTCTCTATCTTTGGCTCATTATTTACTGACCAACAACAACAATACTGAAGCGGTTTTGTTTCCATATTTCTTGTGCAGGTGCGGAGGATCCTCGCTGTCCTCTTGGAGGACTAGTTGTTCCTTTAAAGAGAGCAGACCAGGCCTATAAGAAAACTGCTCCTCCTGGACATTTCAAGGTCAAATCACTGATCTAATCTATTATATAGTTCTATTGCAACCAGATACAGAGATTTAGTAAGGCTTTTGTTTGTTTGTTTGAGAGAGCAGTTCAAAGCAGAAGATGGGGTTGAACACGAAGTGACGAGTTTTATGATCAAAGAATCATCAGATTGGTTTGACAAATTCCTTAAACAAGGAAACAGCACCACTTCTGATTAAAGCTGGTGGACGCATGTTCATATATGTAAACCGTAATAAAAATTGTAAACCCAATAAGTTCATCTCTCATAAGAAGAAACACAATAAGTTCTCTTTGTAACCTTACACTTGAATATTTTTAATAATGTATTTTCATTACAACGTTAAAGAAAAGGAGTTAAACGACGAAAGAAAGAGAGAGGATCATCCTTTCTTAGGCATAGCAGCGAGACGTGTGTACATGCGCGCCATTGAATTGAACCCTCTCACATCACCAGATCTTAGTAGGTTTCCTTTATTAGACAAAAGAAGATTCAAATCAGATTTTAGTTAGACGCACGATTGCATAGTTTAACACTACTGAACAGAGGTTCGTACCTGAGTCGCAGTTAAGAGGACTGTCTGGCTCAGGATGAGCCATCAATGCTATGATCGCTCTACACACTGACTGAAGCGTCCACGCAGGGCTCCACGCGTTCTTCAATATGTCCAGACATATCTCCCCCGTCTACAAATACACACACACACACACACACACACAAAATAGGTAGAAACAAAGATCTCATTTGCTTAAGCTTTAAAAACACAACAACATTTCACATACAGTTTCATTCATTACCTTGAAATGCACATTCGGATGGAATATTTTGGTCAAGAACCGAACTTGAGGAGGTTGCAGAGGATATGGTTCAGGAACAGCAAATGCAAGCTGAAAAACTCCGCCTTCGTAAGGAGTCTCCGATGGTCCCTGAGAATGACAAAAGCAAGACATGTTTTTAGATAAACCAAGCTTTCACCTTTCTCACACCCAAAAAAATGAAAGTTTTTTCTGTGACAAAACCTTGATAAGTGCAGTCCATTTGAATATGTTGGTATCATCACACACCAGTTGAATATCAGGATCGGCTACTTTCTCTCGCTGAACCTCTTTGTACTCCTTGAACAGTCTCGCTCGTGATGGCTACACATTAAGCCGGTTTCAGAACAACACCTCTTTGTTTCAGAATACACATGAATTGGCAATATAAGATAAGAAGAAAAAAGGTGAAACCTGCATGTTTGATTGGTGCTAGTGAGATATGATTTGACCAAGAACACGATCGCCAGCTGAAAAAGTTAAACAAGACCAATTTCTCAGTAAAACCCAACATAAAATCTACGAAATTAAGGTATCTACTTCACATGGATTATCAACTAGACGCAGCAATTAGATCCGGAATGATTCACAATTTAATTACGCCTGATCTGGATAAAGTATCAACCTTTGTACTTTGAGATCGACAAAAAAATCTTTAGAAAGGGATAAAATTGATGTCTTGAAACGAAGTGATATGAAGGATGTGAAATTATAATTGGCCTAAAAAAGGGAAAATCAATGAAGCTTTTACCTGAAAGTATGAGAGATAGAGAGAGAGAGAGATAGGCAGAGAACGAGGACGAACAGCAAACGGCGATGAAATGTTTTACGGCGTGAAGCTTCTTCTGCTTTTTTTATTTTATTTAACGAGATCGAATATAATCCTGAGAATTACAGAGCCAAATCCATCGGTAAACATCTTTAATGGCACAACAGGTGTTTTTATTATATACTTTTGTTCTTTTAACAGGTTAAATGTGGGTCCTACTCCTAAGTGAGATCCACCAATTGGTACTGTAATTCGGTATAATAGAATTATTCAAAGTTAATAACAAACCAAAAACGAGAAAGAATTAAACCAAACTAACCCGGAAACGTGAAAGATAACCCGGTTAAGGATCTTGTGTAAACCCTAGCAAGTGTTGGTCCTTCACCTTCCGTCTCTCTTCTCATTTTTCCCCTTTTCGTTCTTCTCGAATCACAGTTCATCAGCAAATTCACACAGGATTCTACAATCATGGCGAGCAACTACGACTTCGATGATGCTCCGGCGAACTACGACGACGTTCAGCGGCAGGGCGGCCAGGACACTGTCTACGACCCGAACTTTGTGCCGGATTCCGTGAAATCGTTCGTGGTTCACATGTACAGACACATTAGGGAGAAGAACGTCTACGAGATCCACCAGATGTGTGAGACTTCTTTTCAGACCTTATCGGAGAGGCTGTTCAAGGACACGCCATGGCCTTCTGTGGAAGCCATTGCTCCTTTTGTAGACAATGATCATGTTTTCTGCCTTCTCTACCGCGAGATGTGGTTCCGGCACTTGTACGCGAGGTTGTCGCCTACGCTGAAGCAGAGGATTGATTCCTATGATAACTATTGCAGCTTATTTCAGGTGTGTTTCTCTCAAAGTATCTGTTTTTCAATGGGACTGATAGGGATTTGGATCGCTCTCAGTAGAAATAGATTTTGGTCGTACAGGTTTAGTCTATGATTTGCCTCAGTTAGTCTTAGCCATATGCTGTTCTGGATAGTGATTGAGGTGAAAATAAGATGCTGTTCTTCTATTTTTATTGAAATTAGCGAGTAAACCTGGAAGTTGATCTCTTTTGCTCCGATTGTCATTCTTAGTATTCAGTGCTTGAGATGTATTTGAGTGAGTTTCTGGTTTGTTGTAGGTGGTGCTGCACGGCGTGGTGAACATGCAGTTACCGAACCAGTGGTTGTGGGATATGGTGGATGAGTTTGTCTATCAGTTCCAAAGTTTCTGTCAGTACAGAGCCAAGATGAAGAACAAAACCGAGCAGGAAATTGCATTGCTGAAACAGAATGAGAAGGTATATTCTTCCGCTGAATGTTCTCGTGAACTTATGGTCATTTGGATGAATGTAAAGGTAGCTTATTCTTACTGCAATCTGCATAACAATCTCAGGCGTGGAATGTGTATGGGGTGCTCAACTTCTTGCAAGCACTTGTGGAAAAGTCTAACATCATCCAAATTCTGGAGCAAGAGAAGGAAGGACTTGAACAGTTCACTGCCACTGACGGGTACGATTACAGTGGTGGAAGCAACGTGTTGAAGGTCCTAGGTTACTTCAGCATGGTCGGTCTGCTGCGTGTTCACTGCCTCCTGGGTGATTACCATACCGGTCTGAAATGGTTGCAGCCCGTTGACATCAGCCAGCAAGGTGTTTACACCAGTGTTATTGGATGCCATATCGCAACCATATATCACTATGGATTTGCCAACCTTATGCTGCGAAGGTATAGCCTCACTTTTATCTGACAGCGTCTTTAGCGTTTTCTCCAGGGAGGGAGGAAGTTTCTCACGCTGTGTTACCTTTGGCAGGTATGTTGATGCCGTTCGTGAATTCAACAAGATTCTCCTCTACATTTACAAGACAAAGCAATACCACCAAAAATCACCGCAGTATGAGCAACTACTGAAGAAGAATGAGCAAATGTATGCATTACTTGCGGTTTGCCTCTCGCTCTGCCCTCAAACAAAACTTGTTGATGAGTCTGTCAACTCTCAATTGCGAGAAAAGTATGGCGAGAAGATGCTGAGGATGCAGAGGTACGATGATGAAGCATTTGGTATTTATGATGAGCTCTTCTCTTACGCGTGCCCCAAGTTCATCACCCCTTCGGCTCCAAGTTTCGAGGAACCTCTAGTCAACTACAATCAGGTACTACACTTTAACAATGATGAGAGAACTTGTGTGTTTTAACAGGTTTTAACTTTCCTGACTCTGGCATCTCAGGATGCATACAGGCTTCAGTTGAAGATGTTCCTTTACGAGGTAAAGCAGCAGCAGCTGTTGTCTGGAGTGAGGACGTTCCTGAAAGTATACTCCTCCATTTCTCTTACTAAGCTCGCTAACTACATGGAAGTTGATGAACCTACTCTAAGGTTAAGAACCATAGGCAGATTAGCTATTACTAAAAGTCTCTCAGCAATAACGTTTTGTCATTAACATCTCTAAATTTATAATATTGCAGGACCATATTGTTAACATACAAGCACAAGACTCACTCAGTTGACTCTGATGGGAGGATCGTCTCCAATGCAGACATTGATTTCTACATCAACAATGTATGTTTTTCCTCATTTTTCCGTATCTCTTTTACATCGTTACTTCGGTGCTTTTAGAAGTAAACCTTAAATATGGTGAAACTGCAGGACATGATCTATGTAGTGGAATCAAAACCCGCAAAACATTATGGCGACTTCTTCTTGCGGCAAATTGCCAAGGTATGTAAACTGAATCAGTCTATAAGATGAGTGCGAATGGACGCATACTTGCAGACATGATAAGAATCTGACTGTTTTTTTTTGTTTTGTTATCGTTGTGCAGCTTGAAGGTGTGATAAACGACATCGACCGCACCAAGCTGGAATGACTGTAACCTTGAGGCTCTCTTCATTTAGTCAGATGGTGTAGCATTTTTCTCATCTTTTCAATTCGGGAAATAGGTCCTCTCTGTTTTTTCCAATGGAAGCATATCCTAAGAAATTAAAACATCCCTTTGGATCTTAAACTCCTTTCGAATCTTGTTTGCCTTTTGATACAATTGCTTCAGCGGATACAACTTTTTCCTTCGCGATGTCAGAGCTTTCTTTTCTTCCTTAGAAAAGGGATCACCCAACTTTCGATAACGTTTAGGATTCTGATTCGAACCTTATAGAGATTATAATTCTTTGATATTTCAGGAACATGTGTTGTCTGTTTTACGTAAGACTGTCGATCCATCTTCAAAAATCTTCTTATCTCCATCTTACTAAACCTTTGCAGAAAGTGTCAATCGCAATAATTACATTATTTACTCTAGTGCGTTCCACTTTCCTTTATAACATTACTTACACAAAAAATGACATATCTTTTCTAACAGTGCCACAATCAAACTGAAAATGATATATCTTTTTATAACATTGCTTACACAAAAATAAAAGAGTGGATCTATTTCCTGATTGAACAGATGAAAAAATGTTACACCATTTGATTAAATAAAGAGAGCTTCTCAAAAGTTTGGTTCCAAGTATATTTATGGTTATACTAAAGCACAAAAAATGCATATCAATTGAGCAGAGAGATGGAAGGTAACACAGACAAAAATCCTCTCATTCCAGCTTGACGCGATCCATGTCGTTAATAACACCTTCAAGCTGAAAAACGCGAAAACAAAAAAAAAGTTAGGGAACCTTTTTTTTTAATCATGTCTGCAAGTATGCGTGTAACACGCCTTAAACTCAGTTTACATACCTTCGCAATCTGGCGCAAGAAGAAGTCACCATAATGTTTTGCAGGTTTTGATTCGACAACGTAGATCATGTCCTGCAGTTTCAACATCATTAACGTTACTTGTAGAACCATCAGAGTATATCGATGGAAAAAGAGATACGGAAAGTAGGAAAGCTTACATTGTTGATGTAGAAATCAATGTCTGCATTGGAGATGATCCTCCCATCAGAGTCAACTGAATGGGTCTTGTGCTTGTATGTTAACAATATAGTCCTGCAATTATTTTATTACACGTCAAAGACAAAACGTAATTGCTGAGAGACTTCTAGTAAAAGCTATCTGCCTATGGTTCCTCACCTTAGAGTAGGCTCATCAACTTCCATGTAGTTAGCGAGTTTAGCAAGAGAAATGGAGGAGTATACTTTCAGGAACGTCCTTACTCCAGACAACAGCTGCTGCTGCTTTACCTCGTAAAGGAACATCTTCAACTGAAGCCTATATGCATCCTGAGATGTCCGAGTCAGGAAAGTTAAAAGCTGTTAAACACACACAAGTCCTCTAATAATTGTTACAGTGTAGTACCTGGTTGTAATTGACAAGAGGTTCCTCGAAACTTGGAGCCGAAGGGGTGATGAACTTGGGGCACGCGTAAGAGAAGAGCTCATCATAAATACCAAATGCTTCATCATCGTACCTCTGCATCCTCAGCGTCTTCTCGCCATACTTTTCTCGCAATTGAGAGTTGACAGACTCATCAACAAGTTTTGTTTGAGGGCAGAGCGAGAGGCAAACCGCAAGTAATGCATACATTTGCTCATTCTTCTTCAGTAGTTGCTCATACTGCGGTGATTTTTGGTGGTATTGCTTTGTCTTGTAAATGTAGAGGAGAATCTTGTTGAATTCGCGAACGGCATCTACATACCTGTCGAAAGTATCACAGCGTGAGAACTTCCTCTCTGGAGAAATCGCTAAGACGTTGTCAGATAAAAGTGAGGCTATACCTTCGCAACATAAGGTTGGCAAATCCATAGTGGTATATGGTTGCGATATGGCATCCAATGACGCTGGTGTAAACACCTTGCTGGCTGATGTCGATGGGCTGCAACCATTTCAGACCGGTATGGTAATCACCCAGGAGGCAGTGTACACGCAGCAGACCGACCATGCTGAAGTAACCGAGGACCTTCAACACGTTGCTTCCGCCACTGTAATCGTACCCGTCAGTGGCAGTGAACTGTTCAAGTCCTTCCTTCTCTTGCTCCAGAATTTGGATGATGGTAGATTTCTCCACAAGTGCTTGCAAGAAGTTGAGCACCCCATACACATTCCAAGCCTGAGATTGTTATGCAGATTGCAGTCAGATTAGTTACCTTTACATTCATTACGAGAAACAGAAAGTCAAATGACCATTGCTCACGAGAATATACCTTTTCATTTTGTTTCAGCAATGCAATTTCCTGCTCTGTTTTGTTCTTCATCTTGGCTCTGTACTGACAGAAACTTTGGAACTGATAGACAAACTCATCCACCATATCCCACAACCACTGGTTCGGCAACTGCATATTCACTACGCCGTGCAGCACCACCTACAACAAACCAGAAACTCACTCAAAATACATCTTAAGCACTGAATATTAAGAATGACAATCGGATCAAAAGAGGTCAACTTCCAGGTTTAGTCTATAATTTCAATAAAACTAGAAGAACAGCATCTTAGCTTCACCTCAATCACTATCCAGAACAGCAAATGACTAACTGAAGCAAATCATAGACTAAATCTGTGAGATCAAAATCTCTTTCTACTGAGAGCAATCCAAATCCATATGAATCCCATTGAGAAAGATATAATGTGAGAGAAACGCACCTGAAATAAGCTGCAATAGTTATCATAGGAATCAATTCTCTGCTTCAGCGTAGGCGACAGCCTCGCGTACAAGTGCCGGAACCACATCTCGCGGTAGAGAAGGCAGAAAACGTGATCATTGTCTACAAAAGGAGCAATGGCTTCCACAGATGGCCATGGCGTGTCCTTGAACAGCCGCTCCGATAAGGTCTGGAACGAAGTCTCACACATCTGGTGGATCTCGTAGACGTTCTTCTCCCTAATGTGTCTGTACATGTGAACCACGAACGATTTCACGGAATCCGGCACAAAGTTCGGGTCGTAGACAGTGTCCTGGCCGCCCTGCCGCTGAACGTCGTCGTAGTTCGCCGGAGCATCATCGAACTCGTAATTGCTTGCCATGATTGTAGAATCTACCCTCCTTGAAAGTCTCCTTGAATGTGGTTTTAGAAGAAAGCACGAAAAGAGGGACGCAAAGGAGAAGACGAGAAGGTAAGCTAGGGTTACAGAAGATGATCGAGAACCGGAATGTTTCCGGGTCGGATTGTAGATTAGGCGCAACTTGAGACTCAACCGGTAATCATCCGGTTCAGATTATATAATCATTATATTATTCGGTCTCTTTGGAAAAGAAAAAAAAAACAGACCGGTTTTTTTGCGCTAACCAGAAAAGCTCAAATGGACCATTAAGGGACGTTCGAAGCAAAGGCGTCCTGTAATTGGGCCTTATTGGTCTGCCTCATTGGACTATCGTTTAACCCCATTATCTCTCTATATCTCCCAATCAGCTTTTTTTTTGTTTCTCAGAGAAAAAAAAATAAAGAATCAAACTGTATAAAAGTTTGTATTTTATCAATTTATAAACTGTATTACGGGATTTAACAGAAGATGTAATTTCGTTAGAGGTCTTTTTGGGGACAGCGTCGGTGAATGAAACAGCTACGAATAGCGGTGAAAACTGTTGTGGAGTGTGTGTGAAAGAGAAAGCGTTTAGTGATAACTCAAAAGCAATTGACAAAACTTTGGTGGAAACTGTGAAAACGGCGGGAAAGGCAACACCCATATGGAAGCTTTTTTAAAACCTGATTTGAAGATAAAAAATATTGATTCTCGAATTTCTTGATATATATATATATATATATCAGTTTAGAGCAAATCTACAGCTGTTATTACCAATCAATCATAGCATTCCTGTAAATCTGATTTTTAGTATCAAAGGTTGAAAGCTAGTATTAGCATATGCATTTTGTCATTGTAACTAACATCGTAACATGTTTCTAATATAGTAATAAAACAATGGATTTATATATATGCTATATATTAATTTTCCGTTCAAAAAAATGTCAATCAAATATTTTTATTCTGTTTGTATATAATTTGTTACCTTAAACGACAAAACAAATCAAATTAAGTCAAATGTGGCGTAATGTTAATTATTTCCTTCACATCAGAATGTATACCTAAATAAAAGAGCATTTTCAGTCTTGAAGACACAACAGAAAAATAGGATGGCCCTCGTTATGAATCTCTTACTTCTTTCATTCTTGGTAGCCTCGGTTCGTACGGTGCCTCTCAGATCCTTCAAGGTCAGCTTTTAAAATTTTTTTGAAAAAACTTTAAGAACATGTTTCTCTTCTTTTATTTTAATCTATTTAATTAATTCAACATCATCTTTTTTTTTATATCATGGACTGTAATTAATCTTGCCTTTTGTCATAAAGATTCTCATATTTATTTGTGTGTTATTGGCAGATAGGTGAAAATGTAACATATGATTGCATAGATATTTACAAGCAATCAGGACTTGATCATCTCTTGCTCAAAAAACACACGATCCAGGTGTATATTCATCTACTACGTATATTTTATTTTCCTGAAGTGTGATTTTCATCCTCAATATATATATTTTTTTTCTTGTGAAAAGATGAAACCGTCAGTTTCACGGATTGAATTAAAGAGTCAAATTGGCAACAAGAAGAAAGAAAAAGATCAATGTCCAGATGGAACCGTTCCTGTATTGAGAAATACAAAAGAATTTATCACTAACGCTCAATTTTTCGCCAAAAAATATATCCATCCGCTAACAACCGATAGCCCCGGAACACATGTAAAACATTCACTTTCCTCTTATAATATAGTATCTTAGATGTAATATTATTTGTATGTAATATTCCAAGTATTAATGTATATATACTTTTGGTAGATTGCAGGAGTAAGGTCATTTAATGGTCCATATCGTGGTGTTGAAGCTTTGTTTGATGGATATAACCTCAACGTCGGAAAAAATCAAGCCTCATATAATCATATATATTTAGGGAGTGGAGTGAATAACGAGGTCGATTTTATCTCAACCGGATTGATGGTAGGTTTTTACTTTATTTTGTTGTTTTTTCCTTAAATTAATTTGATCTTTTGGAGAAGTCTTAAATGTATTATTACATATCTTCTGGCAGATAAATCCAAGCTTGTTTGGAGACGGACGTACTTTGTCATATGGATTTTGGAAGGTATGCATGCAATTGTTTCTGTTAATTGTGTTGACAATATACTTAGCTAATGAAATATTTGAATCAATAAACATTTAACTATTATATATAATTTTGATAGGGTAAAGATGGAAAATGATGTTACAATACGGCGTGTTCCGGATTTGTTCAAGTATCGCAAGTGATTCCCATAGTCAAACCCCATGATCTTACTCCAGGGCAGCCTTTTTGGTTACATCCTGCCATCCATCAGGTAACTTCTTTGAAGCTTCTATGAAACATTGAATTTATAGAACTATAACCTCTTTAACCCCACATTTTTTACTGCTTTTCTTTTATACTAATAACTGATTTGTTTTGTCTATTAATAAAATACATAAACAGGACAAAAATACTGGAAACTGGTGGATTACACTTGTGGATGGAGATACACCCAACATAAATACACCCAACATAGATGTTGGATATTGGCCGAAAGAGTTATTTAATTTTTTAAACAATGGTGCAAATATGGTTGGAGTAAGAGGTATGGTTCAAACTTCGCCATCTGGTTCAAGCCCTCCAATGGGTAATGGTAAATTTCCAACAGGCAGCGCAATGTCACCAAAGGACCGCGCGAGTTCAGCAATATTTTCAAATATACAAGTGTTGAATTCTAACTTTGAACCAAGTAAAATCGATTCTTCTCATATAGAGAATGTGGTAGATAGTACAAATTGCTACGTGCTAAGAACAGGTAAAGTACCACTATTTCACCGTACTTATCTTGGGTATTTTTTCAATTATGGTGGTCTAGGAGGAAATTCTTGTGGAGTTTGATAAATTCAATATAATCTTTAAATTTATTATTTAATAAAATCTTATTACAAATTGATAAAATACAAACTTTTATACAGTTTGATTCTTTATTTCTTTTTCTCCGAGAAACTAAAAAAAAAGATGACAATTATAATAGTAGATTGTTTGAATCTTTGTGTTCGTCAATCTTTTTTTTTACCATTGTATGGTGGGTTTACTAATTATGAAGCCCTCCCGTTGTGAATAGTCGTCGTGCCCATTATAGGGATTCTGCAATCACAAAGAGTGAAGCAAAGGTAATCATAACGAACCTGCTTAAGCGAAAATGGGATGTCATCAAGTTCTACTTGTTTCGGCAGTGTTCAGCTGTTTAAGGAATGAGATTTGTGGGAAGGAATAAGTAAGAAGAAACTTACAGCCAGGCACGATTCACTTTGACTCTTTGAAGCATGACGATGTGTTATTCCTCCAAACGAGATCATTGTTTGTCTTTCCCTTCAATTTCAGACAAGTATCCTTGCACAATGGCAGCTCGCACGAGCAGTGTGTTTCTCGTAACAGCTTTGTCATTACTATCTTCAACTTTTAGCAGACACTTATTTTCTGAGCTTTAAAACCTAATGTGACAATAGACTCGAATCCAATAGCAGTGATCTTTCACAGTCCATGTCTTCAAACTTCTCCTGCCCAAAGTTGGCATAGGTCTTTCGCAATCCTTCTCTAGCAATCCTCCATACTCTACCACGTTTGTAAACATTCTCTTCTGACATACAGATGAGCTTGGGCTTCGATTGCCTTCTGACATAGATATGGGCTTGGGCTTCGATAATCAACTCAGTAATCATCCGGTTCAGATTATATAATCATTATATTATTCGGTCTCTTTGGAAAAGAAAAAAACAGACCGGTTTGTTTGCGCTGACCAGAAAAGCTCAAGGGACGATTGAAGCAAAGGCGTCCTGTAATTGGGCCTTATTGGGCTGCCTCATTAGACTATCGTTTAAGCCCATTATCTTTATATCTCCCAATGTAATAGCTAGAGTTCATCACTATAACCATTTTGTAATCTCGAAGTAATGATCAGTTAAGTAGAGAGAGTTATTCTCTCAAATCCACCTAAGCGTCTTTCTCTTTTTGACCTTTGATCTCTCTATTTATTCTGTTCGTCTCATCTCCTTCTCTTGGAAAGAAGATAAAATAAAGTCACAAGTGTACGTAGTATGCATGGCAAAACATTAGAGTAGACACAGTATTAAATATTTGAGGTTTAGCCGTTTAGGCTTACCATAGGGTTTTAGTTGAGAAGGGACCAGTCTAAGTCTCATTTCAATACACACTACAAATATGAAATGCATCTTCTTGTTATTACTAATACACATTCATCTCACAAAATCAAACCCATCTTCTTCCTCTTGCTTCTCCTTCTCTCTTCTCTTTTCTCTCTTCTGCTTTAATTCAAAACTTCAAGAATGTCGTTCGGTTCACAATACGATGACTCAATCGATCCCAAAAAGTTCTATTTCATTTTCTTCATTCTTTTCGTAATAATTTGTGTTGGCTATCTCATATTCTGGTGCTTCAAGAGGTACAGAACAGGTAACCGGCTCCTCCAAATCTCGCCTGATACAGGAAACGTCGAGATGGTCTAGGATTTGCTGTTTGTTGTTTCTTGTTTTAGTTGCCGTGTGGAACAAGTTCAAGCTAAGTGGAGTGGGCCTCTATTGGGCTCGGGAAGTGAAGAAAGAATCCGAAGCCCAAGCTCAATCTGAGTGGAGTGGGCCTTTATTTACGATATCTGTACTTAGATTCCTTCTCTCTTTGTAAACGGATCATCCGATTAATCAACAAAAATTTGTCTATCAAGTCCTCTCCTTCTTCCTCTCTTCTCCTTTCGATCAAGTTAATAATATAAAGTTTGTGAAAAAGAAAAAAAACGGATCATCCGATTAATCAACAACAATTTATCAAATTTTTCTCCTTCTTCCTCTCTTCTTCTCTCGATACCACTCACAGTCACAGACAAGTCACCGGAAAGTTTCATATCGTCGCCGTTTGTCCCCTTGTTTTTTCTCTCATCACTCCATACCAGTTCCCAAATGTCCCAACTTCACCTTCACCGTCTCTCTCTCCCACAGTCTTCTACTCGTTTCAGATTACCGCCTTTACCTTCCTTACATCGCCGCCTCGCAGCTTCGTCGCCGAAACCACCTACCAACAACTTTCCCCTCTCCTCAACTTCAGAGCTCAATTCAAGTGCAGCCACCGTGTTTCGTCCTATCACCGTCGCCAAATCTCGTATTGCTTGCAGGTTCAGCCAATCCGGTGAGACTTTACCTCAAATGGGTTTTCGATTTCATTAATATTTCTGAAAGCTACAAATTGGAATTTGGATCTTTGGATATACTTGTGGTTGTATGCTAATGTTCAGTGGAATCATAGACTCATGCTAAGACTTGTTGAATCTTTTGTCAATATTGGTTCGACTTGATCCATAGAATCCTCTGCTCTGTTAAGCTCACTATAGTAAGTGACAGTAACTTACTGTTGGTGTATTGTTCAGACATTACGCCACAGTTTGAGCTGGGCAAAGCAGAAGACAAACGGAAACCACAAAAGCGAGCCAATGGCATCTTCTGGATCATACTTATCAATCTTGGCATTTATGTGGCAGATCACTTCTTTCAGGTATTGAAGATGTGGTTTCACATTGCCGCATCAAAGTTTTGATTTTACCTCTTTGGATTTTGACCTGGTTATCAGAACAAGTTTATAGTTTGGAAAAAAAATGGTGTTTTGGTGATACATCATCATGTTTTGAAAAGAAGCATATGTTTACATTCTTTATTCAACAGGTTCGCAGCATCAAATCTCTGTATTTGTACCACAATTTTCCGGCGTGGTACCAGTTTGTGACTGCAACATTCTGTCATGCTAACTGGTGAGACCTCTATGCTTTCTTTGGTTTTTTCATCCGAGTGTTTTTCCTGAATAGTGCTGAATTGTTCCTATTTTGTATATATATATTTTAGGAACCATCTTTCCAGCAATCTTTTCTTCCTGTACATCTTTGGTGAGAGTTCAAGATTTTTTTCACATAGTTGGACTATATAGTTTATCAATCCAGAGCTGATGGACAATGGGACTCGTTCTGTGGTTTAACAGGAAAGCTCGTTGAAGAAGAGGAAGGAAGCTTCGGTTTGTGGCTATCCTACTTGTTCACTGGTGTTGGAGCGAACCTGGTTTCTTGGTTAGTTTTACCGAGAAATGCAGTTTCTGTTGGAGCCTCCGGAGCTGTTTTTGGGTTATTTGCTATCAGCGTCCTCGTCAAGGTACTATATCTCTCTTCTCTCCTTGTTCCAGGTCCTTGTAAATCAACCAGCGGCTGTTTTATTCATTTCAAACCGATGTTGCAGATGTCTTGGGACTGGAGGAAAATCCTTGAAGTTCTTATATTGGGTCAGTTCGTTGTTGAGAGGGTAAGAATCGTTCAACATTTACACACAGCATCAGTATGATTACAACTGGTATTTTTGCTTGCATTCCCATTTTCTTATGCTTATTATGTCTGTACCATACAATATATGGAAGAAAATGACTTCGGAGTATGCATTTAGTGATAGAATTTAAGGAATGGTAATTTTTTACTTCATTGATTCTTATAGGTAATGGAAGCAGCTCAGGCTTCAGCTGGATTATCAGGAACTATATATGGTGGCTATTCGTTGCAGACTGTTAATCACATTGCGCATCTCTCGGGTGCTCTGGTTGGTGTTGTCTTAGTTTGGCTTCTCAGCAAATTTCCCTCGGGACCTGTGGATCAAGAGGTTCAAAAATCCCCTAAAAAATGAGTCGAAAATCAGTGTAACCTTCTTTATCAGGTACATAATAGCTATCACTGTAATACTGAAGAACATGCTCTAAACCGAGTTTCTGTAAGTGCCAATTCTTTTGCAGCAGAATTCTATCACTGATTTATTTATGTTAAGCACATTAAAAAGGTTTTTCTCCGAATGTCAGAGTCTGCAGCTATTGGAAACAGAAACTGTACAATAGATTATATAAGACCGTTCTGTAGTAATGTACATATAGTGAGTTCTCACAGTATCGACTCCGAAATTTCAACATAAAAACAGGAAAATCAAATGTCTGGCCTCAGCCAAAGCCAGTTTTGTCCTTCGGTTCAGAAAAACACTGTACAAGAATGCACGAACTGCCCACTGATCCCAAACTGGGCTTGGGACTGCTTCTGGCATATAACTGGCACTCGAGCTCCGAGTTTGCAAGCAGAAAGATTCATTGCTTTTGCAGTTGGAAGCTCCCGTTTCCCGATCGGAATCTGCAATAGGTTAAAATTCCCGGAGGACTGTTTCTGGTAAAGATTCTCCAACTTCTCGATCTCAATGTCTTTACATTTCAATGCATTGATCGCTTTGTTCGACTCATCAGTGAGTCCCGCGACACGCCAAGCTTCTGCTACCAGCGTGTAGGTAGAGTTCTCAGGCTTCACGCCGAATCCTCCCATCATCTGCAGAACCTCTTCGGCTTTCCATGGCTGCTTCACTTCCAGGTAACCCCACATCAACGTCTCGAACGTCTTGATATTCGGTGAGACCCCGAACTCGCACATCTTGTTGAAAACCCTCATGGCGTCATCCATACTTCCGCTGCTGCACCACCCGCTGATCACCGTGGTGAAGATCACAACATTGGGCCTGCATTCAACCATGTTCTCTAGAAGCTCCTCGGCTTTCTCGTGCTCTTTAGCCCTGACGTACCCTTTGGCCAAGATGCTGTAAGCGTGAGCGTCTGGTTTGACTCCTGCTTTGACCATTTCTTCAAACACTTGTGCAGCTTTCTCCATGTATCCAGCTGAGCTCCAAGCGTTCATCACGGTGCTGTACGTGATTACATCTGCCTTCACCTTACACTCCTTCATCAAGCTAAGAACCTGCACTTTCATATATAAAACGAATTCAAGCTGACCTCAAACCCCATTAATGAAAAAATCAATAAGAGTGTTAATTCACCTCATCGATGCCATCACGGTCCATGACCTCAACGAAGCCTTTTATCAAAGAATTGAAGACCACAAGGTTTGCTTCAACTCTCATTTCCTTCATTCTCCGCACAAACCTCAAACCATCTCTCACTCTCCCTTCTCTACAGTACCCTCCCACCACTATCCCACACGTTCTTCCGTTTGGTTTAGCCTTCTCCTTCATAACCATCCTCTCGACCACCTCTCTCTCAGCTCTCTCTGTCTTTCCTTTCTGCACATAACAAGTTGCGATCGTGTTATACGTCACTGTGTCTGGCTTGACTCCGCACTCTTCCATCTTCTGCACCACTTTCCACGCCTCCTCCACATTCTTCTTCTTGCACCAGGCTTGCACCAGCACATTGAACGTCCTTATATTCGGTCTAACATCAATACTGTTCTCCTCCAACATTAGATCCAGCAGCTCGGATGATCTCTCAGGCTGGCCTGCAATCCCGTACCCTTTGATCAACGTGTTGTATGTGCTCGTGGTGGGATTTAGACCAAGTTCCTTCATTTTCAACAGAGCCTGCATCGCATCCTCTATGTTACCAGACTCAGAGAAAGCGTTGATGACGGCATTGAAGAAGATGGAGTCAGGTTTGGTCCCGCTCTGTTCCACCTCCGAGAGTATAGTGCTTATGGAACCGTACTGCTTCTGGACCGTCATGGCAGCTAGGAGAGTCGTGTAAGTGATCAAGGACGGCCTGTGTCCTGTCTCTGCCAACGTTTTGAAAACGGTTTGCACCTCGTGAGGCCGTCCTCGTTCGATCAGAACGTTCATCAGCTTCGTTCTTGACCTCACTGTCCTGCAACTGCTTCCTTCAACGCATGACTTGCAGCGATACTCTCCTCCTTTGTTAACTGTAGTCTGCAAAGAGAGTTTAAAGCAAGCCTTTGCTCACCAGAAGGTGGACCATAGGGACATAGCTCTAATAACTCGAAACGGTAAATTACAATTCTACAGTAATGTCATCCATAATTAGTCGGAGAGACCAAATCAGACAAAAACTCGATTAACCTGACTAGAATATTCGGCATATCCAGATTTCATCAAACTCAGAATCGAGTAATTGTATAGTGAGTCGTTGAACAAAATGGTTTCAACACAAGCCATAGTAGATTGTTACCTTAATCTGCGTGGATATTTCTGCATCAGACATAGCAGGAGCTTCGTTCTCCTCGAAATCGGCCATGTTTTGTCGGGAAAGAATCTGCATCTGCAACGAATACAATGGAAATTTAAGGTTCCAAACAAATAAAAAGCTCTGGTAGAGAAAACCACTGAAACTAAGAAACGCCACCTGTCTTTCACTTCTCATGTTCTCGAGTCCATGGGGAAGAGAGAGAGGTCTCAATTCGCAGGAGTGATAGGGGTCCATAGAAAAAGGAAAATATAATTATTAATTCTGATAAGGAAGACAACGAAACTAGATAAGGAAACCAAAGACGAGGACTTTTTGAATTTTTTTGTTTGCTGTCCACAAATATTTTTTTGGTCTGTTGTTTGTATTTTCTCGTTAAATTCTGTAGTGCCTTTTAGATTTTGCTAGCGACTCATGGGTCTACGGAGGCCCAACCCAATTAAAAATCTATAGTGAAACCATTCACTGGAGACAGCACGTCGTTCAAAACGAAGTATAATAACGTCACGACGTTCATCATTTAAAACGTTAAATGGCAAATTGAAACCTAACAAAAATTAATATTTAACTATATTGAATATGTAAAGGCAGATAACAGCAAGCGGGGATAGCTCAGTTGGGAGAGCGTCAGACTGAAGATCTGAAGGTCGCGTGTTCGATCCACGCTCACCGCATTTTGCTCTTTTTTCAAAAAAAAAACTGTGTTAGTAAATCCAAAATTGTTTAGGTGAACTGTGAACATTAAATATTATTTATTCTTAATAGTATTTTAATCATGCATTAACATGTGGAAAGATGCAAAACAAAATCAAGAACTTGCGATAGGTTCAGTTTCTTTAATTACTTCCAAAAAAGGAAAAGAATTAGCCCGTTTGGTGGAAATAATTGAATAAAATGTAACTGATCATAATTGGTTAGATTCTTGTCAGCGTTGAAGCATTGAAAATGTATCAAAACATTTAGAGAAAAACAATTCCAAATGGAGGATGAGTGTGATCTGGTAGTCACCCACTTAACAATACATAATTGGTTAATTAAAACAAAAACAAAAATTATAGACATAATAGGAATTAATCAGTCTAATCTCTTATAGGCTTATATATAGCTAATGCCTAATGGGGTGGGATCTTGAGCCCCCAACGATACGACGCTCCAATATTTTTGTTAAATGCAGAAACACCAATACATGTAACCAGTAACCATCATCCATTAATTACTTTTTGGTTATATATTATTATACCAAAATACCAATTGACATCACACTTCATTATATGATATTTTCCATTTGACAAGGCGCTGACTATTGTTTAAGGACGTGGACGTGGGCATGCAGACGAAGGATCGGATTATTGTTTTGACACATCATCTTCTACTATATATGTACTATTTATGCTAATGGCTCCCAATCAAATTTTCATTCCATAAATTGCGGATGTACATTCTGGTTAGTTCTATTACAGTTCATTGTTTTGTTAGGATTGACACTGATTTGATTATTTTTTTCTACTCGAATTCATGGAACTCTGTATTTTTTCTAGGGGCAATTGTTGAATATGACTCAAAACTTGAGTTGAAATGCAAAACTAGACCCCTATTGCATGTTTGACAAAAATAACTCACAGGAGTAGTGAAATTACAACTTTAACCCTTATGACCAAACAAAAAAACATCAACCTCAATTACTATTTTATCCCAGAAAAGTCTATTCGAGAAGTTAAGACTTCTCGAGTAGACTTCTCCAAGAAGTCTACTCTTTAATAATATGTTTACAATTAATTTTAAAAATCATAAAAGATAATTTAATAAAAAAAATTAGATACATAACAACAAATATATACTTTTTACACCTATTAAAAATAAAATTTGATAGAAAATAATCAATTTAAATCATCATAGATAAATTAGGATAAAAATCAATACTAAGAGACTTCTCGAGTAGACTTCTCGGTTTCTCGAGTAGACTTCTCGAGTAGACTTCTTGGAGAAGTCTACTTACACGAATTTTTTCCTACATATATAAGGAGAGTTTAACCTAATTGTATTAACAACAAAGTCTCTCTCTATCTAAAAAACGCCTCTCTCTCTCTTCTCCCTTCTCTCTGGCCATGAATTTCTTCTCCTTCCTCTCTTGCTATCAATATCCTCTCCATCCTCTCTATCTTGCATTCAACCTCCTCTCACTTGCAGGTTATGGTAGTGGTAAGCAAATCTGAGCTTTTGTGTTCCTCTTTTTATTTGTTTTGTGTTCATATTGCAAATCTGAGATTATTATTATAGATTTGAGCTTATTATTGTAGATCTAAGTTTATTTTTGTAGATCTGAGTTTATTGTTGTGTAAATTTTGTAGATTTTGTTAATTTTTGTTATTATTGCATAGCTGAATTTTGTTGATTTTTGTACAGATTTGAATGTTATAAATATAGTAGATTATTATTATAGATCTGAGCTTATTAGTTTAGATTTGAGCTTATTGTTGTAGATCTAAGTTTATATTTGTAGATCTGAGTTTATTGTTGTATAAATTTTATAGATTTTGTTCTAGATCTAATTTTTTTGTTATTGTTGCAGAGCTGAATTTTGTTGATTTTTTTGTAGATCTGAATGTAAACTTCTCGAGTAGACTTCTCGAGTAGACTTCTCGATCTCGAGCAGACTTCTCGAGTAGACTTCTCGATCTCGAGCAGACTTCTCAAGCAGACTTCAGTTGCATACATAGTTTTCAGAGATTTTAGTTCACTAGTCATTTCTTATGCCAATTTTAAGATTTATAATTAGTGATCCTTAAATGTTTGTTTGTTTAGAGGGTTATTTTCTATGTAATGTTGAATTGCATTGAATGTTTTGTATCAAATTCCTAAATTATCTATGTTTATCTATTTTACAAAATAGACTTCTCCTGTCTCGAGTAGACTTCTTAAAGACATTAATTTAAGTGATTCAGAGGGACATTTCTCCCATTTATATCATATAACTTGTCAACCGAGTAGACTTCTCTTGTCTCGAGTAGACTTCTCCTGTCTCGAGTAGACTTCTAAAAGACATTAATTTTACATAACTTAAAAGTGATTCAGAGGGACATTTCTCTCATTTATATCATATAACTTGTCAACCGAGTAGACTTCTCTTGTCTCGAGTAGACTTCTGAAGTAGACTTCTCATTGTCTCGAGTAGACTTCTTAAAAATATTAATTTTACATAACTTAAAGGTGACAACATTCGCCCTCCTTTGCTATTCACCCTCCTTTGCCAACATTCACCAAGAAGCTCACCATGTGTGCAACCATCTCTTAAGAACAACATTCACCCTCCTTTGCTATTATCCACCTCGAACTGCCACACTGATTCACTCTTAACCCATTCTCCATAAACAGCAGGTATGTGAGCCATTCTCTGTGAAAAAAGAACAAAATCCAAACCACATTAGACATCAAAATTGCATAAGTAGACTTCTCTGAAAGTCGGATGAAGTCTACATAGTAGACTTCTACAGTAGACTAAGAAGTCTACTTTTAATAAGCTAAGTATCATATAAAACATGAAAACTCATTCGACTATACTTATAAAATATAAACATGCAAAACTTATACATAAGCAAGAAAACTTAATAACAGAAGCTTAGGATCACGAAAATCTTAAAAATTCGTTATATATTGTATAAAAATGATTTTTTTTAAAAAACAAGAAAAGTAGACTTCTCGGATAAAAGTAGACTTCTTACAGGTTAGTTTTGCAATTGCCAAAATATTAGTAGACTTCTCTATGAAAAGTAGACTTCTCCGAGAAGTCTACTTTTGAAAAGTAGACTTCTCGGAGAAGTCTACTTCCATAAGTAGACTTCTCGCAGATCATTTTTGCAATTGACCAAAAAGTCAAATATTTTTCAATTGCAAAAATGACCTGCGAGAAGTCTACTTACGAAAGTAGACTTCTCGGAGAAGTCTACTTTGCATAGAGAAGTCTACTCTACAAAGTCAAAGGTTGGTCAATTGCAAAATGACCTGCTTCTAAAGAAGTCTACTCGAGAAGTCTACTCTATTTTTTTTGTTATCAAAGGAAATTGAGTAGACTTCATTCAGACCAAAAGAAGTCTACTTTTTCATGCGGTCAATTGCAAAATTAATCTGGGCGTTGACTAGTAGACTTCATTCGGACCGAGAGAAGTCTACTTTCAGAGTATTTTCGTAAATAAGTGAAGAAGATGAGGATTAGTTGGTCATTTAGATTTCCGAAAATAAAAGAAATTAATTAAAAATAATGGCAATTTCGTGAATAACTGAAACTATGAAGGATTGTTTGGACACAAAATGGCAAATGTTGGAAAAGTAATTTTTGTGGGTTAGATTTGCAATTCAAATCAAATTTTAGATCATTTTTGCAAGAATCCCTTTTTTCTACTGTATTAGTCAAATTCATGAAACTCAAATAGAAAATTATGTTTTTCTTCTATAAATCGGTGTTTTATGTGCGTCCATCTTCAAAAACGTGGTTAGATGAAACTTTTGTCCATTTACACCATATCACAACATATTAATTGATTTCTCGTTTTTTATTTGTTCCAGATGTGGGTATTCAACATATTAGTATATTACCCTATAAAGTGCATCTAGATTTCATGATATTTTTTATGTTGTTACTTCTTAACAAAGAAAATATTCAAAAAAAAAAACTTTTTGGTTTCGTTGAAAAAAGAGTTTTTTAAAAAGAAAAACCCCAAATTAGAGCTTCTGATTCGATCTTGTGGAATTGGTAAAATAAGAAAAGGAAAAGAAAAAAACTATAACACTTGGAAATCTATTTTTCTAAAAACTTAACTGTCTAGAAAATCTAAAACTAAATACTCGGATATAAGGCCTGATCACTGGAAGTATATTTAACGTCAAATTGCAAGAATATATAACAGAATAACTGGCAACCAAAACCAGTCTAATAAACTTCATTGCCTATACCAGCCTCCAAAACGTTGAAAAATTAGTTTGGGTATCACACACACTTTTTTAATTAGTAGTTAATATTTAATTAAAATATCCAAATATTTTGTGTCGTCATTAAGCAATATAAATAGGAGTATTGCTGATGGATTCATGTGACGGAGGCACAAGAAAAAACAATAGTCGTAGGTATATTGCTTAATTTTGAGTTTTTGATTCAACCTATGAAAAGTTGAAATTCTTATAATTTTTGAAAAACTCGATATCGTTCCATTTTAACATTTTATAAAACGTGAGACAATAACTGTTTTCGTAGTAATATGATTTGTAGATATGGACGTCGTGTGATGTAGGCCTAAACAGTTTCTAAATAGTTAGTATAGTTGTAATTACTTTAGTGTAAATTTATAGTGTTGGTGGCTATAATTTTTTGGCA